AGCGTTACTTTGTTGCTTCCCGTATGCGAATATATTTTGTTTATCTATTAAGTCATTAGCACATACCATGAATCTTTCATCTACATCCATTCTTTCGTGAAGTGCTTTTTCTTCCATCTCCAAAAAAAGTCAAAGAAGCATCGTTTCGCTATATTTGTTCATAAAAATTTGCAAAGCTTGTAGTGGTCTGAAAAATACAACCAAACGAATTCGAAATAGAGCCTACCAAAACATATGTGCAAAGAGTATTGGATATTCAATGTTGAAAAAGACTGCGGCAGTTGGAATATCGATGCCAATATAGAGAATAAAATACGGTGTAATTCAAAATCTTCAATCGCCAAACCATAACTGATGGAATAACAATGACACAGGGATATGTTCGTTCAAAAAGCACACCTCGTTCATTCACTGACACAAAAGTAGTGGTGCTTTGTCAATTAAAACCATCTAAACAACAATGATAAGAACAAATGTCTATATACTTTCATTTGATATTCTCCCTGACTGTTGATTTTTAAGGTTTTATAAAAAATTACTCAGGAGTATTATCTGGAGATTTCTAGACGTCATTTTCAATCTTCACTTAATACTTCGTCTAGTGAAAAACTATTTAATTATATCTACATAGTCTACGAAATTTATTGCCCCGCCGAAATTTGTTCAAGGGAGAGTAACAACGAAGGCATTCTTACTGGTAAATAAAGCCTACTTAGAACTCTTGGAAGTTTTAAAAGTGTAACCGATGAAGTGTAGCATACTTGAGAGGGTATGGTCAAAGAGTATCTTCCCGCCGTTAATCCGTCATCCTACTATTATAAATAACTGACAGGTTTCAGCAATTAATTATCCCAAAGAGGATATACAGTTTTTATTATATATTCAAAAGCTATGAAGATACCACCATTATTGTAGTTTGACAACTCTTTATCAGTAACACCTTCTATAATGAAATCGCTCACACCCAGTTAAAATCAGAAGTCAGAATCGAGGAGGTTGGAAGATTTATTCGATGGGTTATTAATATATCGAGAAGTGGCTGGTCTAATCTGGCTAATGATCGTAGGAGTTGCTTCCCACGCGTTCCTGTAACGTCATCTGGTACGGATGCATGACCGAGCGCCTTCAACCGAATGGGTCCACTAAAACTAATGTGATCCGCATCCAGTGTTGAACACTTACAAAGCTATTGATTTTGATGAGTTATTTACAGCTACAGCTGACTTAAAGAGTTATGTGGACTTCTTCGATGTTAGAATCAACAAGCTGTAGAACTATTTATTTAAAGCTATGGCAATTGAAACTTTCTTAGAGCTTCTGAAAAAGAGTCTTGACGTTGACTTTAGTCCCCAACTTATTCGTTTTGAATATACTACCTGTTTTCCAACCATAATGTTTAGAATAACAAAGTATTTTGTAACTCCCTTAAGTTTTGTAAGGAATATGACATAAGTCATACCACTTCAGAATCCAAAACACTCTCCCACTCCACAGGCATAAATTTTAATCAGCAAGCATTCCACTAATTAGGTCAAAGAAAATTTAAGGTCTAAATTTTCAAGTGTTCTAACAGAAGTGGGCAAATTCAACAATGTGCAAGAGAATTCAGATAACACCCCGATATTGAATAGCTAAAAATGTTTATTTCTCACGAGAAACACTATTTATACGTATTAAGTGACAGATCTTTATACACAGTTCTGACTGAAACGAATTTGTTTAGATGCACCATTTGTTCTAATCACTTCACTACCATGCATATGACACTTCATAACACCTATACATTATCACTTTGACTACTTTACTTACGCCTGTTACACTCACACAGAGGCATACGCTGACTGTCAGCATTTTCCATTGAACTCTGTTCTGGACAATCTTTTCCAGTTCTTTCCAGTTGTTATTCATCCTTTCCATGTCTGCTTCCATTTTTTCATACAGTGTGTTCTTCGGATTTCCTCATATCCGTTTCTCTTCACGATGCCAAATTAACGCTTGTATCGTGATACGATTTAGTGATATCTGAAAATTGTGTTCAATCCACTTCCAACATCTCTTGCTAGTTTCTACTTCACTTAGAAGATGGTTTGTCCTCTGCCATAGAAGGCTGTTGCCGATGATATCCAGTCAACAGACATTGAATGTCTTGTGGACAATCGTTTATAAATACTTGTAATTTTTTATGATGATTGTAGTAGATCCCCACGTTTCATCTCGGTATAAGAGGACTGTATAGACGTTCGTATTGAAAATTCTCACTATAATATTGGTTAAGAGTCAGTTGTTTTGAGTTCCAAATGTTCTTCAATGGTAGGAATACAGTTCTTGCTTTACCAATCCTTGCATTTACGTCTGCATCAGATCCTTCAGGTTCATCGATGGTGCTGACCAAGTAAGTAGGTGCTTCAAACTCCTCCAAGGCTTCTCCATCACTTTGACTAGCCAGATTTATTTTTGTACGTAAATATCACTTGTAAAACATTTTTGTGCAAAATATATTTCATCATTAGATAGGACGGTATACTGCCATGAGAAAATGTGTTGTTCACAAGTGAGGCATGTAATGGAAATGACACACTGAAGATAGCCCCACAACATTACATCTGATAGTATTGTCATTAATTTTTTTCTTCTTCCTATCATGTATTTTAACCTTTATTCGGCTCTCTTATTAACCAAACTTGATGTTCTTCAGCCTTCGTTTAAAGAGCATTTGTTATGTAATTCTGGTTAGAGATGTATCTTTGGTTGTTCAATTTACTGTTGCATGTTGCCGGATCATCGGGTTTTACTAGACTCATTGTCACTGTGTGGTTTGGCGCATGACTGCTAACCTTTGGCTATTTGCTTGGGAAGTGCAAAGTACGACGTTTTCACGCTATAATAGTGCGACATAGCTGAGGAGTCTACTGATCGAATGTGTGACTAACTTGTTTTGTGAATCTAACCTTAGGACACAACACAATCTAGACGAAGTTCTTCAGCTTTTGATAAAGAAACTAGTCGTCTGGTCAGGAGATTTCGAATGCCTGTGACGAATCGATTTAGATGCTTGCAGTTTCACAATAAAGTCATTCGGGTGTAACAGGACTTACGACGATCCTTTAAGTATTTATATGCATATATGTGTGTAAGCTTCCTTCAGGTTTGCGGCTTTCAAAGTAGCATTTTATTGCTTCTTTTTCCCGAATGTAGCGTTACTTTGTTGCTTCCCGTATGCGAATATATTTTGTTTATCTATTAAGTCATTAGCACATACCATGAATCTTTCATCTACATCCATTCTTTCGTGAAGTGCTTTTTCTTCCATCTCCAAAAAAAGTCAAAGAAGCATCGTTTCGCTATATTTGTTCATAAAAATTTGCAAAGCTTGTAGTGGTCTGAAAAATACAACCAAACGAATTCGAAATAGAGCCTACCAAAACATATGTGCAAAGAGTATTGGATATTCAATGTTGAAAAAGACTGCGGCAGTTGGAATATCGATGCCAATATAGAGAATAAAATACGGTGTAATTCAAAATCTTCAATCGCCAAACCATAACTGATGGAATAACAATGACACAGGGATATGTTCGTTCAAAAAGCACACCTCGTTCATTCACTGACACAAAAGTAGTGGTGCTTTGTCAATTAAAACCATCTAAACAACAATGATAAGAACAAATGTCTATATACTTTCATTTGATATTCTCCCTGACTGTTGATTTTTAAGGTTTTATAAAAAATTACTCAGGAGTATTATCTGGAGATTTCTAGACGTCATTTTCAATCTTCACTTAATACTTCGTCTAGTGAAAAACTATTTAATTATATCTACATAGTCTACGAAATTTATTGCCCCGCCGAAATTTGTTCAAGGGAGAGTAACAACGAAGGCATTCTTACTGGTAAATAAAGCCTACTTAGAACTCTTGGAAGTTTTAAAAGTGTAACCGATGAAGTGTAGCATACTTGAGAGGGTATGGTCAAAGAGTATCTTCCCGCCGTTAATCCGTCATCCTACTATTATAAATAACTGACAGGTTTCAGCAATTAATTATCCCAAAGAGGATATACAGTTTTTATTATATATTCAAAAGCTATGAAGATACCACCATTATTGTAGTTTGACAACTCTTTATCAGTAACACCTTCTATAATGAAATCGCTCACACCCAGTTAAAATCAGAAGTCAGAATCGAGGAGGTTGGAAGATTTATTCGATGGGTTATTAATATATCGAGAAGTGGCTGGTCTAATCTGGCTAATGATCGTAGGAGTTGCTTCCCACGCGTTCCTGTAACGTCATCTGGTACGGATGCATGACCGAGCGCCTTCAACCGAATGGGTCCACTAAAACTAATGTGATCCGCATCCAGTGTTGAACACTTACAAAGCTATTGATTTTGATGAGTTATTTACAGCTACAGCTGACTTAAAGAGTTATGTGGACTTCTTCGATGTTAGAATCAACAAGCTGTAGAACTATTTATTTAAAGCTATGGCAATTGAAACTTTCTTAGAGCTTCTGAAAAAGAGTCTTGACGTTGACTTTAGTCCCCAACTTATTCGTTTTGAATATACTACCTGTTTTCCAACCATAATGTTTAGAATAACAAAGTATTTTGTAACTCCCTTAAGTTTTGTAAGGAATATGACATAAGTCATACCACTTCAGAATCCAAAACACTCTCCCACTCCACAGGCATAAATTTTAATCAGCAAGCATTCCACTAATTAGGTCAAAGAAAATTTAAGGTCTAAATTTTCAAGTGTTCTAACAGAAGTGGGCAAATTCAACAATGTGCAAGAGAATTCAGATAACACCCCGATATTGAATAGCTAAAAATGTTTATTTCTCACGAGAAACACTATTTATACGTATTAAGTGACAGATCTTTATACACAGTTCTGACTGAAACGAATTTGTTTAGATGCACCATTTGTTCTAATCACATTGACTTCTTCACTCTAGCGTACAGTTAAATATTGGGTATCGCTTGGCTCATAATATAAAAATGGGTGTCCCGAATGCCGTAAGTTTTATAACGACAAATCGTTTTTTAAATGAATTGAAATTTTAATATATTTTCTGTTCCGTGCACAATCGTATAAAACTCATTGATTCGTGATTTTCACAGCGAGGCGACAATTACCGAATGGCTACAGAAAAAAAGTCGAAGAAAAACCCAAAGAAAGATGACTTGAACGAACTGAAACAGGAGCTCGACATGGACGAGCATCGGATATCGCTCGATGAGTTGTATTCCCGGCTATCCACCGATCCACAGAGTGGCTTGACTGCCGAACAGGCCAAGTAAGTCAGAGATATTGACTTGTGTTACTACAAGGACTCGTTTGGAACGGGATGGACCAAATGCACTTACACCTCCAAAGACAACGCCAGAGTGGGTGAAATTCTGTAAAACGTTATTCGGCGGCTTTTCACTATTGTTGTGGATTGGTGCCGTTCTTTGTTTTATTGCTTTCTCAATTGAAAGTGGCACTCATGAAGATCCACCAAAAGATAATGTAAGTTCAGTTCACTATCGATAATACTCATATAGTAGTTAATTTTGCTTGTTTGATACTAACATTGTCTCGCCCATAATTTTATCAGAAAATAAAACTTTGAGTACTATTATCATCAGTACTTATTGTTTATGCTAGTTATGAATTGTGATTAAGTTGTCCTGAAAACTAACCTATGTTACATGTACACTAGATAATCTCATGCTCAGGGTTTAGGAAGGTTCATATTTCTTTATGCATACGCACTTATATACCCGCGTTTCCCAATCAAAGCAGATTTAAATTTATTCATGAACATCTCAGTACACGTCTAATTTAGGGGAGTAAAGTACATATAATCGATAGAACAAGCAAATGGGAAACATGCACCTTGTTGGGGTAAGCTGATTGAGGAGCTGTGGAACTACTGAAATTGATTACCATTATGTACTTCACTAGGGGTATCTGAGTGTTAGCGATGCTGAATGAAGTCTACTGAAACGTCTCTTATCATTTCCGCTCATATTGGGGAGTGGAGATATTTAAGCATCCCTTTACACCATGTTTTCTTTTCAATGAGAAATGATAACAATTTACTAAAGAATGGTTTATCTTTGTCATATTTGAAAAAACTGATCAAATGGTTGCCTAAAGAAACCATTTTGACTTATGATTCAGTATTGCACCTATATCAAATTGGTAGTATTTGCATATTGTTGTGGCCGTTTGTTTTATTAGCAGTGCCCAAAATCCCGTAGTATTATAATCTACATATGAAAAAGATTTCTTTATATAGTCTGTTAACTACCTATAACTCAATGGTTCATCTGCATTGCTCTCAATCTTCTGGTTCCTATCTCAGATTCCATTTGGCTTCTTACATTTTGAACTACTGGGTGTCTGTTACCTTGAGGCGGAATAACTTTACTAACCGTTTTTTAAATAACGTAATTATTTCTCACCAAAGTATGTCGACTTTTCAGTTCCATATCCTCTTGATACACCTGGGTTTCATTACAATCACTTTGCTTAACTAACCCATTTGCTAGCTATAAGCTTATGCTTTCCGTCGCAAGCCACATTTGTGTAAGTGCTTATGATTGTATCCGGCTACCTAATCTAAGGTAAAAAGAGCATAGATCGGACCCGAGATCTTTCGGTCAATAGTCAAATGCCTTGGCCGCTTAGTCTGCTTCATTTCTTTTTAATAATTTGTTTACTTGCACTTGAATATTATTTTGAGATAGTTAAACGGTTTTAATTTTATACCCAATTTTATATTGTTAATGATTGACTACTAACAAAACATGCTGGATGAATAATATAGGCCATAGTTCATAAGTTTGACTTTATTTTGGCATGATTTCCTTCCAGTCATTTGGTTTAAAATAAAGAAGGTGGCAATCTAAATAAGTGTTAACCAGTCTTAACTTTGGGTCGCTGTAGTAGACACTTAAAGACTTAAAGTAATATGACGCACGAAGTTCTTAGTGGGAGTGGAAGTCTCTTGACATTAAATATTTGCAACTCAATTGTACAACTTTAAGCAGAGTAGTACTTCTTCATAAAAGTGATAAAGAAACCTTATTCTGTTGAAAGACAATTTAAGCGTGTTATACCCATACAACTGAATACAGTTAGCACCGTTCTTATTTCGCCAAGTATCTCGGTATCCCTACAGCCTTCATCACATTGCGTAACATAGTATTCTTATATTATTATTATTATTTTGATGCACTCAGTCATATTTACTTGTTAGCAGTGTAAATAGACTACTCTTATCATTTTATTAAAGTTTCTAACTGGAGCGGATTAGTTTTATTATTTACAAGGTGATATCAATTGTACAAAATTGTAGATACTCCTGGTTCAACATTGCGTGTGACTCACAGATATAAAATTCATTTCTTAAAACCTACTCATGAATCATAGGATATGATTTTCAATCACTGAATTCTAAACAGGAGATTTCATTTTGTTTTCAGCCGAGTTTCTGTGCCGCTACTCTTCAAACAAAGTATAGGTTGCTCAAGACAAAATATGCATTTGTACAATCGGCTACCCTGACCCCATAGTTGTTACTGTATAGTAAGATAGAGAACCTCGGTGTAATGTTTGTTTGGTGAATTAAATACTTTGTTCACAGTGTCTCAGCTGATTGTGAGTTTTTATTGTTCACTGTTTCTTATGACATTCTGACAACCATTTGTAATCTATAACTCAACTACTCATTTTTCCTTACATATATTTAATGTATATTGGGATAACTATTTAAGCGTTTATAAAAGTGATGGTCCCGACCGTGTTGCGTATGCCCAACCATCGACTGCTCTGACGTGCAATGTATTATAGTGTAAGAGTAGGTTGGAAGAAAGCTAAAGGCGGCAGACCAAAACGTGGCACAAATCCATGAAGTCACTGACAAGTGGACTGGGCCATGTTGGTAGGTGTAGACTACCTGGTTCGGATTCGCGAGATGATAGCAATCGATGGTTAGAGACCTTGAATGACATGGCTCAAAATCGTTTGCAATGGCGAAGGTGTATCCACTCTTTGTGTTCTCCCAAATTCTAATCTTCTGAATTTTTCATGTCCCTATCCTTTTTCTCTTTCCAAATTTATTTCACTGTATTATACTCCTTCAATATTATCTTCAAACCTTAATCTTTCACATAATACTTATACTCTTACTACTTCTACCAATATGGGATTTGAATCGACAACTTCATCTCTGTGCTAATGTGGTATGGTGACTCAAACTGATCTACGTACGTACGTACGAAGTTCTACGTTGTAACTGACTGACTGACTGAAAAGTGATGGTGTTTTCATTGGTTCACTGCATTCTACATATACTTTATTGACTCGGAAGAGTAAATAATAATAGTAGTAATATGGGTTTTATTCGCTACATTGTCACTACATTTTGTAGATATATGAAAGTAAGTACAGAAGAATTACTTAGTACTGTGTAATTCGTTATTCTTTCTTAAGATGGTATTTTTGTCTTTTCAAGCTTTACCTTGGGATTGTACTGTCAGTTGTCGTAGTGGTCACCGGTTGCTTCTCGTACTACCAAGAATCGAAGTCATCACGTATTATGGAATCGTTCAAGAAAATGATTCCCCAGGTAAGTCAGTGACACTGATTAACACAGATGTTAGTAACGCTTCAATAGGTTAAATTTCTTTATTTTGCTTATCAGTTTTTTGTTCAGCGCCTCATTATCCCACCTTTATATATTTTATGACACATTAATCTCAATGAAAATTTTCAGTCTTGATGTACTGCGATATTTAGATTCTGAAAGTTTAGAGGATATGTACAACTTTAGAAGATACATAGGAATTAATAACCTAGATCTATTTCTCAATACGAAGGTCTTGTCATATCAAGAATAATAATATATGCAAACCTGAAATCAGTTTGAATCAAATTCGCTTTTTAGAAACTACTTTTTAACTGAACGAGACATATCACTTACCGAGAAATTATTTCTTATCCTTTCATGAATCGGAATTAAACCAAACTGTAGATCAGTAATCTCGTAGACCTTATATAGAGGATGTTTTTAACTTCTTCATCAGTCGGCCAAAAATGCCGTATTCAGAATGAAATATTATTGTTGGTTGAGCTTGCCCTCATATGCTTTATGGTTAACTAGTAAACTAGTATATGCCGAATAAATTGAGAGTCAAGATCTACTCAACATAAAACTATGTACGTAGAAGTCTGTTCATCTCTGTGCTTGTTTTTCTTTTTAAGTGGAAATCCATTCGCAGGTAATAAAATTAAATAGCTTCAACACTAAGTTAGATAGGTTAGCTTTTGTTTATTTGGTTTATATCAAGATACTTAAAACTAAACAGATTTTCTCAATCAACCAGTTTTTATTGAGTCCATCTCAGAATAAGACAGAACCATGATTCACTCTCAATCCAGAAGATTAAACCGATAGTAAAGTCACTTAGAAATAACAGCTCAACTAAATTTCAGCTACACTTCATTTATCAAGTATATCCAGAAGAACGGAATGGGAAACTAAAACAGGTCCCCTAACTCAAGTTCAAAAGCCATATCCAGCTTGAAGAAAGAGAGAAGCAGGTTGACTGTAGAAGTTTTTAAGAATAGTTGTCTAGTTTTTGCAATTAAGTTGACTGATATGTTAACTGGAGTTACGGAGTTACACATAATCCCATTTCCATGGTCTCAGTCATCAGTCATTCAAGTTCATCTACGGATAACTACAAAGGAATTAGTTTAACTTATCTGATGTCTAAAACATTAGACTCTATACTTATTCGACATTCACCTGGTACTTGGTATCACAAAACTGGGTGGGGAACCATGCTGGTTTTACACCTGGACATGGATAAATTGGACAAGCATTCGCTTTTCGTCATGTTCCTGAATATAGATTGGTTAAAACATCCAACAATCCTGTCTGTGTTACACGCTGTGGTTGATGTTGGATGACGGGCCACAATTAGTCACAGTGTTACAGACGCGTTCAATCTTTATCTTACTCTAGATATTGAGCTTTAGGATCTCTTGATACATGCTTTTTCGTACTGTCTTCTCAAACAACATTCTCAATGTTTAATTTTACCTATTATCATTACTACTACATTATTTGGAGTCGTTTACTATTCATCGTGTTAATCTCATCTCGTCACATTAATACGGTAATAGCAGTTTGGGCTAACTTACATTTGTGGCTAACTTAAAATTTCCATTAGATTTGACGATGCAAATTAATTAGATTTACTTAAATTCAATCACAGAATACATCATGAGATTACCACAGACTCTGGTTAAAGTAAAAAGATTGTTAACTGAAGCTTGTTTTATTCGTAGTGAAACCATACATTCTTTTGTACTAACTTTATTCAAAGTAAACAAGTCATACTCTAAAGTATCACTATATTATACAAGTTTATCTAAATCTGATGTTAGACACGTAACTAACAGGCAGTTTTCAAAGGATAAATATATTTATACTAAAGATAGTGATTGAAAGTGTAATTACTACCAGTGATACGTGTTTTTTATCCTGTAGACTGCTTTAGTTATTCGTGGTGGAGTGAAAATTGAAGCACCAGCTGAAGCTTTGGTAGTTGGTGATTTAATCGACGTCAAGTGTGGTGATCGTGTACCAGCAGATATACGAATCATTTCAGCTAGTTCATTCAAAGTGAGTATATATATGCCTTGTACATTTTAAATATGAGTGTTATTTTGATTATAAATTTCGTACAAATTTCTCGGTATGCAGTTGCGGAGATGGTTGAATTTCTTGGAAACCACAAACCGATCTATGCTCGAAAAATAATGCTATACTACGAATTAATGACTATCCAGTCCTTTACTCTGACATGGCCACGCCCATATAGCTTCTGCCAGAGAAGTCCCACTCACTGCCTTCTCGCACCACGGGTATTGTTTACGAAATTGAGAGGACGAAAAGCGAATGTCCAGAGTTTTAACCGAGTTGGTGGACGCGCAAAGTTCACCTAGGGGAGTTGGAAAACCCTGATTACAAACCTATGGTGCACATGGGCTAACTCCAGTATCCTGAGGGAACAAATGATGTATGAACCGATCTTTGGTCACCGGCTACCATGGAACTGCATCTTCTTACAATGTTCCACTGCCTTGTGAATCAAATCTTTCGGTCGAAGGCTCCGGGTGTGGCCCCCTAAGAAAACCACCTGCTTCAGTTTGGGCACTCGGGGAGTAGTATCACAACCCTCACACAAATCGAATGAGATTTGTGAGGCGCATATGTATCTGGTGCCCCTTTGTACCAATGTTTATGTGTTTAAATAAATAAAAGTCCTTCCAGATTTTCAATAATTGTATAAATAAGATTGGTTCATCATTCCCTCATAAACGTCATGAATATGTTTGTCATTTGGAGTTGGAGTTTTTGTTTTCTTTTTCGAATGTAGAGTTATTCATGAATTTTGCTTGTATAAAATGAAACATGTATCGGAAAACATTCCTCGTCTACAATGACTAATGTGTACACAAATCAAATTATATAAATATTTGTCTTTAATATATTAGATTATCTATTTTACATAATAAACTTTTCCAAGTTTCAATATGAATACTTGTTACGTATGGCCAACCATCGACTGCTCCGACCTGCAATGTTTTATAGTGTAAGAGTAGGTTGGAAGAAAGCTAAAGGCGGCCAGACCAAAACGTGGCACAAATCCACGAAGTCACTGACAAGTGGACTGGGCCATGTTGGTAGGTGTAGACTATCTGGTTGGAATTCGCGAGATGATAGCAATAGATGGTTAAAGACTTTGTGTGATATGGCTCAAAATTGTTTGCAATGGAGAACGTGTATCCACTCTTTGTGTTCAACCAAATTCTAATATTCTGAATTCTTTATGTCTCTATCTTTTTTCTCTTTTCAAATTTATTTCACTGTATTATACTCCTTCAATAACATCTTCAAACCCTAATCTTTCGGATTGCTGCTTATACCTTTACTACTTTTACTACTATGAGATTTTAATGGACAACTGCATCTCTGTGCTAATGTGATAAGGCAACTCGAAATGATGTATGTATGTAAGTACGAAGTTCTACGTTGTGACTGACTGATTGACTGATAGTGGTTAATGAATAAATCACTGAAGTTTCAAGTAATAAGTGATGAGTTCGAACTCATCTTTATTTAGTACAGTATATTCATTCAAGTAGTTTCACTTGGCCTCATACATAGTCTCTTAACTTTTTTCGTAATTATTCATTCATGCAAAAGGTTGTAGAAGCAACATATGATACAAATATTCACAATTAAAATATACATTTAGTGTTGTATGAGTAAACTGAATGTTTCAATCAAATCGGTCTTCATGATTTATGCATACTTGTTAAAATATACGTGAATTGAATGACTATTTAAGATTATTATCCAAATGAAAATTTGTGGAGATTATAGTAATTTTGATAGTTGAATTCATGAGTAGATCTAAGTTAGATGACCATTAGACACTTGAAAGCACTGGATGGTGGTTTCGTCCCAGTTTGTGACTCTTCATCAGTACTCATCCACGATTGAATTATTTCCATAGTTGAAAGCGTAAGTCAATTGAAGCTAGACCACCAAGGAAAACTTGGAAGCACTAGACGGCTGATTCGTCTTATTGTGAGACTCTTCAGCAGTGCTCATCCACAATTGAATTATTTCCATTTGTTATAAAAATTGTGAAATGTAGCATTAACTCATCTACTCACGCTAACCATATACACATTGCATCAAGTCAATAATTATCTCTTTCACATAAGTTTAAAGTTTTCCGTTTTAACTATGTAGTTAGATATAGTCCGAAAAACTCAATTTTAACAAGTTACCTTCCAATGGATACATTTTAACAGAATATCAACATGACTTGTTAAATTAATAAGGACATTATAAGAAAAACAAATATACGGGTTTCATTACATGTTTTTTTCATTTTATTTATATGTTCTTATTGTTGCTATGGCCCAAATCAAAGACTCTAATAGAATAACTCTTTTTATACACTTGACTGTTTAAATGATACATGTGAGTGTTGTTACTTGATTCATACTGATATAAATTAGAAAACAAAAAGACGTATAGACAATAAACTAGAACAAAATGTATTAAAAAAATAATAAAGAGAGGTCCTACCTACTGTTTCATAAATGTTATACATTTCAAAATGGTTTAATTTAGTTTGTCTTATAACTGTTTCATATTTTTATTCAATAATATTAAAAAAAAGTATCGAATGAAGCTAATCGGTTACCTTGATCTATTTGTGTATATAAGTGTGTGAAGGGTATGTGATGATACTAATTCATTGTTTAAACCGAAAGATACTGTATGAAGATGAGTTAATTGAAGCTAGATCACCATGGAAAACTTGGAAGCACTGGATGGACGTTTCATCCTATTATGGGACTCATCAGTGGAAGTGCACATTCACGATCTTGCCTCGCGAGGTTCGAACCCAGGTCTAGTTTCAATTGATTTATGATTTCAACTACGAAAAATACTGAAATCTTCACAAAACACTTTCTGAAGATGACTAGCCTTTTTTCAATGTTCAGTAAATGTAATATTGAATACTGTAAAGTATTTCATCGTTCATTTAGTCAATATTGCATGTAGAACTGTAATTTTCATTCTACTCATCTAGAGTTGTTTACACATGTTTTCTATGAACGCCATACTGTACGACATCTGATTAGACTATAATTCATGGACGTCCTTTAAGCGACGCCAAAGTGACCTTGAGAGTGTCTACTTACTAGGGCTAAATGAGGGTTATAAAGCGATGTGAGGAATCAGAATTATGATTTACAGTTGATGGTTAGGGTTAAGAATTAGATTTATGGTTTTTAGTCATGAACTGACATCATCTAAAATGCTAAAACGCTATTCAACCAAATTGGCAAGTGAATTTCTCGTCAAAATCCGAGATCTGTTATCTTAAATCTGATTGGTTCGTCCGTAAACTGAAGTTTCGCTGGGCATCTGAACTTGGCAGATGGAAAAGAACAAAAAAGAAAAAATTAAAACTTGAATTCCTTCGCTTCGTTTCCCTGATTGTGGTGTGTTTAGATGAATGAGTGTATGAAATATACTTATTCAAACTTCACTCTGATATTTGACTTATTCCGTTATTCATTAATGCGGTGTTTATATATCCCAATAACAACCATGATACGATCTAAATAGAGTCAGATATAGGGCCACTAAAAGATATACATATCTTTCTATTTAATAAGAATCCCGAAATGCCCTGGTACGGCCAAGAGTGGGGAGAGTCCGCTCTCCCTCGAAAAATGCTCTCACATGGCTACGTGTGTATAGCCTCTGTCAGAGAAGTCCTACTCAATGCCTTCTAGTGGTGGGGGTGCTGTTTACGAAATTGAGAGGACGAAAAACGAATGTCCAGCGCTTTAACCGTGTTAGTGGACACGGAAAGTTCACCTAGGAGAGTTGGAGAACCCTGATTACAAACCAATGGTGCACATGGGCTCCAGTATCCTGAGCGAACAAATGGCGTATGAACCTATTGTTAGTCACCGGCTATCATGGGTCTGCATCTCCTCACGATGCTCCACTGCCTTGTGGATCAGATCTTTGAGTCAAAGGCTCGGAGTGTGTTCCTCTAAGAAAACTACTTGTTGATCCATCTAGTACTATTATTCGTCGAGATTGTAAATATCTAACAGAGTATTCATTCGTAATAATTTTCTAGGTACTCTATCAGCTTATGGATGTAAATTAGTTTATATTTCACTCAATCTGAATAATCATTCATTGTAGATTCGTTTTTGTTTAAATGATTTTAAATTTAGTTATTATGGTCTAAATGAAAAATGTACAATATCTTCATAACTACTATTATAAATTGCAATTTAATATTTCAGGTCAAGCAACCTAGATTAGATCGTTTTTATAGCGACTACTACTACTACTACTACTACTACTACTATATAATTACTATGACTTAAAGAACTGTTTATTAAGAATATACATCATGTGCTATATGTAATATTCACCCCACCCCAACCCCTTCCCCCCCTTTTCACCAAATGTTACACATATATCCTTATTTTTTTCTTTATGAAAAATTATAATAAAGTATTGTATTAAAATATTTTCATGAATATATACATAGATATTTACTATTTTGCCACTTCCGTTTCATTCCGCCTTTGAACTTGATCAACTAACTAACTAAGTAACTAACTAATTCTTATGTGTCCTCAAAAATGACGATTTTTATAAATAATCGGGTAGTATAAACTGTCACTATTGAATAACGATTGATGCGTAGAAACTCATTCATATATATATATATATATATATATATATATATATATATATAACCTATTATTATTACCATTACCATTATTATTACCATTACTATCATTACTGTTACCATTACTATTATTATTATTACCATTACCATTATTATTACCATTACTATTATTATTATTATTACCATTACTATTATTACTATTGTTATTATTACCATTACCATTATTATTATTATTGGAATGGAGCAAGTGTTTAAATTATTGATAAATGGGTATTGTAAAAAGTTTAAAGAATGAAATAAATAATAAATTTGATAAATAAAAAAAATAGATGAATGAACTGATAAATAGATAGATAGGTAAGACACTGACATATTAGCAATTCATGTCATGGATGTACACTGCCACTGATGAGTCCCACAATAGGACGAAACGGCTGTCCAGTGTTTCCAGGTATTCCATGATGGTCTAGCTTCAATTGACTCATGCTTTCAATTATTGTATGATAGAAATATATTATCCAATTTAATTTTGATTCTAGTTTTAAGATATATTTTGGTTGTTGTTGTTGTTGTTCGAATGAATGGTCTCCACTTTTTATCATTAAGGGTTTAATAAATAAAAATTATAATTTCTGAAGAGGTTCAGACAAATTAGCTGGACGAAACGTTGGAATGAATTAAATTTCAGTCGCTGATATAGTTAATAGGGGATATTAGTGAAATGTAAAATATATGCGTGAAGTCTTATTTGACAATTTGTTAGCTGATGATTTCAGTCAGTCAGTCACAACGTAGAACTTCGTACGTACGTACGTACATCAGTTTGAGTCGCCATACCACATTAGATCAGAGACGCAGTTGTCGATTCAAATCCCATAGTGGTAGAAGTAGTAAGATTATAAGCGGTAGTCGGAAAGATTAGGGTTTGAATATGTTATTGAAGGAGTATAATACAGTGAAATAAATTCGGATAGAGAAAAAAGATAGAGACATAAAGAATTCAGAAGATTGGAATCTGGTAGAACACAAGAAGTGGATGCACTTTCGCCATTGCAAACAATTTTGAACCATATCACACAAGGTCTTTAACCATCTATTGCTATCATCTCACGAATCCAAACCAGGTAGTCTACACTTACCAACATGGCTCAGTTCAATTGTCAGTGACTTCATGGATTTGTGCCACGTTTTGATCTGGCCGCCTTTAGCTTTCTTCCAACCTACTCTTACACTATAAAACATTGCAGGTCGGGGCATTCGGTGGTTGAACATACGTAACACGTGTTCCAGCCATCTCAACTGATGAAGTTTCACTACTTCATCAATCGATTTGCCATCTTCACCTAGTACCTGTTTCCTAAAAACTGCATTACTTACCCGGTGATCCCAGGATATACGGGTAAGATGAGGATTTATCTATAGTTCTGTTTACTGAAGATGTTATTGACGAAGTGCAGTGTTCTAACCACATTAAACAGAAATACAAGCATGTTTTAAATGTTATTTTGTAGTGAACGAGAATACCAATGGGAACAAATGAATGTAACATCTGAGAATCATACAGTAAATACTTCATTTTCAAAATATCAGTCAATTGTTTCAGACTTCATTATTCTTTCGTTTCCACACCAATCATTCTCTGTTCTCGTTCTCTTCTTTTTTGATCTTCTTAACGTTCTGCCTCCAGACATTTCACTTTCGAATGATGATGCATACTACTTATATCTATCGATATCAGTTGCGTACACCACAGTTCTCTCCTAAATGAAAAAATGCTATTTCAGGATTGGCTTGGGTCATCGTTTGAATTAATGACAATGAGTGAAATAATTGAGCTCATTGATCACTACACTTATCTTGGGAGTATCATTAGTCCTGATGTCTGACAACACGTGGTCACGAATTCAGAAGTCTCGATTAGCTTTTGCCAGTTTATACCACTGGTGGCGTAAGTGAGATGTTTGTCTTCAAACTTCACTGCAGTTTGCTCTGTCCTACTTTATGGATGTAAACCATGGCTACTAAGAATAGAGGATATTCGAAAGTTACTAGTATTCGACCATAGGTGTCTACAATGCATTGCTCGTGTACTTTGGCACGGCAGAGTAACCAACGTCTGGGTTAGGAATAGAATACTCAGTAAGAACTGTAAATCTCTTGAGGTATCAAATTTTCATTAATTAAGGTGGTTGAAACATGTGTTACATATATCCAACCACCTACTACCTCGACGAGAAATGTTTCGTGGTGTACGACTAGGCCTGAAGAAAACTAGGGTCAGTCAAGCCAAAACATGTCATCAGTTCATGAAGTCACTTACGATTGGACTGAGCTATTTTAATAAAAACAGACTACCTTTTTGGGTTTGACGTGATGATCGTAACCGGTGGTTAGAGACTTTAAATGACATTGCTCAAAATCGTTTAGAACGACACAGGTGCATCTATTATTTGTATTGTCTCGAATTTTCTTTCTGTTTTTATCTCACTAAATTACATTTAGTTTTCGAGTTGTATTTTCAATTTGTAATCTTTCCTATTACGTTTGATACTGTTATTGCGTGTATTATTTTTGGATTTGACTTGAGAACTTGATGTTTGTGTAATAATGTGATATGCTAATTTGAACCGATGTACATACGTATAGGTTTTACTTTGTAACTGAGTGATATGCCTGAATCTCAGTGTTGTCGTTCACACTAATATTTGAACATTGTATGTTTCGTTTCGAACGTCCAACACATTACCCACTTAGTTAATGAGTTCAGATACATTCAGCTGACAAGTCTCAATTAGGATGAAAAGTGTTTCCTGCATTCTACTGCTTGGCATTATCTATTTCCGTTTAAAAGTCTTTGTAACTCTTGAAAATATTTAAGCAATCTAATTAGGATTGATATAACCCAAACGATACAACCGAATTATAACTTGGTATAGATTTTGTGCAATTTTCTACTTCTAACTAAAATCAGGTGAAGAGTTGCATGGAGAACAAGGTTTAATTGATCATCGTTTGTCTCATTTTAGTTTTTGAGTCCTGCCCATCAATGAACACTCTTGCCTATGACTCCATTTATTGGTTGAAATTAAGGACCTTCACATCATGTAACATATTGACGTCAGTAAAAAATATTAACCTTCGTATATATATATATATATGGCAGCAACCAGTTGCTTCTGGATTTCAAGCTACTTCATTCTTAACAACTGAATAGAGTTACTTGTCCAGAATAAATCGTATGTGTAGATTGAGGTCTAGAATGCCAGTTTTGTGCGTTTACTGATTCTACAACTCATGAAATTCTGTATCTGTCTATTTAAGCCCGGGTTTTAAGTTCAACTCCCATTATCCCAATAAATATGCTTTTAATCAAACCTGGACGTGACTAATGAACTTTATTTATGTAGGAGTTCTTAACAAAGCTATATTTATGAGCTAGAAGTCGATGGTTGTCATCTGAACATCCATCAAAAGTTATTCTAATGTTCATGTACAAATGTATGACAGGCCTCTGATATAAAACGTTATTATGATACTCACTATTGATAATCAGGAAGCACTGGATAATTGTTTCTTCTCAGCACGGGACTACTCATCAGTGCACATACACGACCCACCACTGGGAATGACAACCAGGAATTTTGGTTTTGCACACATATTCTTAACCTCTTGATCAATAAGTTGTGTTCCAATAGTGTACAAGTCTAAATTCAATCAATCCGCCCCATTGTAATACCATATTCCATTACCTATGGTAGATAACTGTTTTAGACCCGATATAGTCGAAAATCACTAGTCTGAGCTTCCCACTAACATTCTTAGAATTGCATCTAAAACTTAGTAGTGAGCACATTATCCTTATTACCTTAGGAGGTTTGTGAATATTGTTAAATTACATTAGTACAGTAATCCAAGCCACTTGTCTGTTCTCTTGTCGATTTAATTTATCTTATATTCCTATATATTTCATATTTATGACGACATTTTAAACTTTACTTTCTACTTTGAAAAAACCAACACACATTTCAGGTGGATAATTCTGCATTGACTGGTGAATCCGAGCCACAATCACGTACATCAGAATATACAAATGAAAATCCATTGGAGACAAAGAATTTAGCCTTCTTCTCAACTAACGCTGTTGATGGTGAGTAATATATATATATATATGTATATGTATAATCTCGGTTACATATTGTACTCATTAATCTTTCGTATTTCATACATATAATTCATTGCTTTACCAGGTGCAACACAGATTCATGTACTTGACTTCGAGCCATACATTCTCTGGATTGTGAGGGCTATTCATACTATTCGGTTGACTAAATCTGAGTATATAGAGATGGTTCGAACTCATTACTTATTGGTTAAAAGTTGAACCGCTTAAACACTGACCCATCTCTCTCATATATATATATATATATATATATATATATATATATATATATACTAAGATATTTTGTGAAGAGATTTTAAGTAAGGTTTTCGACTTCTGGCTTATTATAGATTAGGACTGCTGAGCAGCAGAGTATAGAATTATCAGATTTTACAATAAAGATGAAATATTTAAACTACTTCCTGACCGTTGCTGATACTTTGACGTGGTGATTGGGCTTGCCTCTCGTGATCAACCAATCGAGCTATACTGGCTGGAACAATCGTTCCCAGGGTTCTACCATGCCAGACAGGTCAGTTAAAGAGTGGTAAGACTAAAGGCAGCAATCCCAAGGTCCGAGGTCGAAGTCGTTCATCTGACTGTACAGAGGTGTGACGGCAGTCAGATTTCTTTTTCAGACAGCCAGCATAACAGCGATTCTGCCTTCCCACAAGGAGGGGTGGGGTTAGAAAAGGTCGACCCTAAAAGTGCACACCTCGCCTTATCCCACGGATTTCCGTCTCTGGCGGTATGGTCCCAACAATTACAGAGCTAACATAAGAACCGTTCTCGAGAAGGTCGTGTGTGACCGGCCTCAAGCAGTTGTCCCTTGGGCACTGCGGTCACGCTCTAAGGTCACTAAGACCATTTTCAACTCGATTTTCTTTTCAAGTACCTCCAGAAACACCCTTCCACGGTGTGGGCAACTGAGAAGTTATAACCGCCCTCATACTCCTAACAGAACTCTTTAAACTACCTGGATACAATTCATCGGTCAATAATTTGACATTCAATTGATTCACTATAGATTATCATTATCACGGTTATCACCTTGTAAATTGACACTGTACTCTAACCTCTTCTCACGTGAGCTTTAAACGACCGATTATAATATTTTGTAAAGATATTTGGATCGTTTAGGATAGATGAGTTTCTTCTCTACCAGTAATTTAGTTAATTATCAGCTCATGGTGATATGGGATACAGGTACAATGCCGGAATATTCATTATCTTCGTTTGATTATTATTCCACATTTCTCATTCGTTGAGTTTTTCATAAATTTTGGTGCTGGTCTGTACAACACATCAACTAATGATAGGTGGTTAAGTTGTTAAACATGTCTATCACTTCACTTATCTTGGAAGTCTCATTACTTCTGATGCGTCTGTGTCTAACCAAGTCTTGGGACGAGCTGAGAAAGCACAGTTGGCTTTGCCAACATACATCACTCGTGGCGTAGGCGAGATATACGTCTGCCAACTAAAAGGCGTGTTTAAAGCGTGGCCGTTTGTTTCGTCTTGCTTGATGGTTGTGAAAAATGGCTTTTTGAAAAATAAAGGATATTTGTAGGTTGCTAGTATTTGATCGTACGTATCTTTTAACCGTTGCTGATATATTTTGAACCCACTGAGTTAAAAATCCTCAGGTTAGACTTAGGTTAATGGGTAAATCTGGCAAATCGATTGGCAGTTTAGTACATCTTTATCAACTAAGATAGTAAAGATATGTGCTACGTATGCCCATCCACCCCTAACCTCGACATGCGGTAATTACCGATGTAGGACTTTGTCGAAAAGAAGCTAGAAGGGGTCGAACTAAGATATCACAGTAATCCATGGGGTCACTAATTGTTAGACTGAGCCATGTACGTAAGTGGTCCGTGTTAATGCTAAGTAATGTATATGCCAAGTCTGACGTTATTTATAAGTGTCTATGTCATAGAAACTGTCCAATCTATGTATACATCATTCGATCCAATATTTTGAGCTCATCTGATTGTTATGGCTATAACAGTAAGTTTGATGTTCACTATTCGAATTCTTAAATGAATCACTGAAGAAATCATGTTCAACTAACCTTGATCACTACCAACCAGTGTAAACATTTATTTCGTTTTCAGAGCAAAATACAACTTCAGTTTATTGTTCATTCTGTATTGGTTGTTTGCATTTTCCCTATGACTTTTTGGACTACAATTGATCAGTCTCTTTTTGGCGTATATGCATTCTGTACAGATTACCTTGATATTATCTTGAGCCATAATCGTTATAAACAGAGATGGATAGTGGGTATCAGTGAAAGACAGTATGCGCGTTTCGTTCTATTTAGCACTCATAATCTACATGTACATGCATCCCAAAGTTGTTGTTGTTGTTTAATCTGGAACTCAAACCTCGTATCATCTAAATAGAATGAAACTTGCTTCCTAGATCCCATTGTTAACCACACTATTCATCTCAATTTATTGTTGTTTACCAACAAAAAAAAATTGTTAATCAATTCATATGTTAATTATATTTCAAAGTTAAAACCATTAAAGGATTTCATTTAAATTTCCCCTATAATCTCTCCTGAATAATACAACTATGTATATATATCTATATTCTTAAGATCAGGCGTAGTTTTTTTTTCTTTTTATCTTCTTATTGTGACCTATATTTTAAACTAGTTGCTTGGAGGCATAAATTTGTTTGTTGTAATACATATATATATTGATCTGTGATTGTGAAACTGACAGTCAAACATCAACTCTAATCCTTATCATAATTTGATCTCATATTCCCCTATAGTTACTTACATCTTGCTATCTATCTATCTATCTATATCTATATAGTTCACAATATATCAATAGTCTTTGCTTGTTATCCCATTTTGGAATCACCGCTTATCTATTTATATCGTAAAGAAAAAATTGTTTGCTTGTTTTAAAATCCAGTGGAAATTTGGATTACACATAATTTTTTTGGGGGGTTGGATATTTTTTTATTTCGTAATTTAATAATAGAAATGGATTAACTATATTAGGGAAAACCTGGAAGCACTGGATGGCTGTTTCGTTCTATTGTGTGACTCCTCAGTGGTAGTGCACATCCTCGATCCCGCCTCGCGAGATTCGAATCCAGGACCTATTAGTCTGGTCGGTTGAAGTTAGACATTAACATCGTTGGATGCCGGCTCAGTGGTCTAGTGGTTAGGCGCTCGGGCGCGAGACCATTAGGTCCTGGGTTTGAATCTCGCGAGGCGGGATCGTGAATGCGGAATGACACTGAGGAGTCCCACTATAGGACGAAACGTCCGTCCAGTGCTTCCAGGTTTTCCATGGTGGTCTAGCTTCAATTGACTCATGATTTCAACTATGATATTGAGTAATTAATCTATAAAATATATTTGATATAAAGTTATATAAAATTAGTTAAAGTACAATTATGATCCTAATAACTCAATGGGGTTAAGGTCTTAGATTGTGGAGTTTTGACTAACATGAATACAAATCACACAAAGAGTCACTTTTCTGAATATTCCAGGTTAAACTTTATTGATGAGTGTCGACTAAAATGAAATTTAAGTCAAAAATGGTTTCTTGCTGACTATCTTCAACCACTTAGCATTAAAACATAATGTTTGTGATATTGAGTCACTTGAGTCGCTTCAACTGATAACCACTTTATAACTTGATCTATAGAATGGGAGTTGTACTGAAAGGACTAGACAAGTATAATATTGGTCACTGTTGCCTACTGATCAACCAATTGTATGGCGCATATGTATCTGGTGACCCTTTGTACCAATTTTTATGTGTTAAAATAAAAATATATCTGATAGTAGTTCGAAGGGGACTCACACTTGTTGGAATTAGTGTCCCTGTAAAATTACAATTAGCTTAGTTAATATTCCACAGATAATGAATAAACAAACACGAATGTAGGAGGACTGATGAAGTTTAACCGTAATGTTACAAATTAAGTAAACTGAATCATGAATTGACTGAAGTTGTTAATAAGTTACCCATTGAATGTAATAGATTTCTCAGTGCTCTAAGGTGATAGTTCTATAAGCTCGAGGACTTAATTTTTGACAGGATTCACCTTGATGTAGACAAGTCTTATATTGTGCATGAATACACTTTTACAATGTGCCTTGGTTTTTAATATTTGTTGAGGAGTTTCAAAGTAATCTTCGGAAAAGTCCATAGGGGCTCAGGAAAATCTCAGAAGCACCTTGTCCAATCCAATCGAAAAACATTCAGAAAATGAAGAGTCACGTTTCTGTTTAGATCCTTACCTATACTACTACCACACTTAGTATGGTTTGAGAAAATTCCAGAAGCCCAAGTTCGTGTGTAACTGCATAAATACATATGCCCAACCACCGGCTGCCACGACGTGCGATGTTTTATGGTGTAGAACTAGTTTGGAAGAAAGCTAGGGGCGGCCAGATTATAACGTGGCACAAATCCATGAAGTGGACTGAGCCATGTTGGTATGTATAGACTACCCGGTTGGGATCCGCGAGATGATAGCAACATAATATGATAGCACATAAATCATTCGATTTATGTAAGGGCTGAAATACTGCCAAAGTGCTCAAGCCAAAGCAGATAGTTTTCTTAGGGGGCCACACCCCAAGCCTTTGACCTAAAGGTCTAATCCACAAGGTAGTGGAGCAACGTAAGGAGATGAAGTCCCTTGTTGGTCAGTGGCCAACAATAGGTTCATGTTCCATTTGTTCCCTCAGGAGCCTGGAGCTCATGTGCACCATTGGTTTGTGCTTAGCGTTTTCCAACTCCCCTAGATGGGTACTCTATATTTACCAACCCAATTAAAGCTCTAGACGGTCGCTTTTCGTCATTTCAATTTCTTAAACACATCCACCACAAAAAAGCATTGAGTGGGATTGTATAGGCGTGGCCATGTGAGATTATTTGGAGGGAGAGAGTTGACTCTACCCACACTTGACTATACCAGGGCATTTGGGGGCAATTACCACCGGTAAGTTCATTTATTTGTCTGCTTTTATAGTTTTACTGATAAACACAATCAAAATCATATTTTAAATGTAAAGAAGTTATTTCTCTTCAATATTTTTTTTACATTTTATTTCATATTTAGGTACATGTCGTGGTATAGTTGTTAGTACTGGTGATCGTACTGTTATGGGTCGTATAGCAAATTTAGCTTCAGGTTTACAAATTGGTCAAACACCAATTAATAAAGAAATTAATCATTTTATTCATCTCATTACAAGTGTTGCTGTATTTCTTGGTGTTTCATTCTTTGTTATTGCATTCATTTTGGGTTATCATTGGCTTGAAGCTGTAATCTTCTTGATTGGTATCATTGTAGCTAATGTTCCAGAAGGTCTTCTAGCTACTGTGACGGTAAGTAGGAACACAATTTTTTTTTAAATAGTTGGATAGATTGGTTCTTCTTTTTATTGATTATTTAAATGATCGTTGAGTGATATTAATTTTCCAACTTCTTCAAAGGGTCACTATTGCTTTGATATCTTTACGATAATTATTCACTTGTTTGATAATGACCTATTCGTTTTAATGTCCATCGCATATACGTGGTCAACTAAACATCTCTTATTGACCCATTTGTTAAGAATAGGTAACCAACCGTTACAGGAGTGAGATCAAACCTAAAGGTTAAAAGTCAGTCTATTAAGACAGTAACTATTGAACTAAACCATAGTGATAGGTTATGGATTTTATATTACCCATTATTGACTGTTATACTGATACTCCGTTGTCTTTTCCCAATAAACCAAGTAAATTAATGAGATATATATTGCTTTGAAAACTTGAATAGCTATTAACCCTAGTACATAATATCAATGTCTTGTACAAAACAGTCTAAGTGAACTGTAAACTACAGCACATTTAATGAAGTTATCGAAATAATTAAGTGTGAAGCATGATATAAAGTACGAAATCGGTGCATTGTGGAATACCGCAGAAAATAAATGCGATATGTAATTTAAAAGATAGTGTATACATTAAAGTGTTTTGTTCTCTGAGCTAAATGGTTTGGTCATGGAGCTTTCATTGTTCCTCTGAACAACATAATCGGCACAAACTTTAAGTAAAAGTGATGTGTTCGAAGTTCTCCACAAATGACTTACAGCTTGTCCTGTAGACCTTGATCTTGATTGGCTATTGTTGACCTTTAACCTGTCATTGTATACATACATTCAATGTTGAATAGTGGCGAACAGTGGAATTCAAGACAGTGAGACTAATCCGTTGTAGTACATAATATTAATGTGAAAATTTTGTCATTACAAATCAAATCAAAATAATATCATAATCACTTTAGATTTATTTTGTGACAGCTACATTTAACTAGATGTCGAATACAATAGCTTCATGTCCGACTTTGATCAATTGAGGTGATAGAGACATGTGTTACATATATCCAACCACTTACTACCTCGACGAGAAATGTTTCGTGGTGTACGACTAGGCCTGAAGAAAACTAGGGTCAGTCAAGCCAAAACATGTCATCAGTTCATGAAGTCACTTACGATTGGACTGAGCTATTTTAATAAAAACAGACTACCTTTTTGGGTTTGACGTGATGATCGTAACCAGTGGTTAGAGACTTTAAATGACATTTCTCAAAATCGTTTAGAACGACACAGGTGCATCTATTATTTGTATTGTCACGAATTTTCTTTCTGTTTTTATCTCACTAAATTACATTTAGTTTTCGAGTTGTATTTTCAATTTGTAATCTTTCCTATTACGTTTGATACTGTTATTGCGTGTATTATTTTTGGATTTGACCTGAGCACATGGGCTCCAGTATCCTGAGGGAACAAATGGAACATGAACCTATTGTTGGTCAACGGCTACCATGTGACTGCCTCCCCCTACGTTGCTCCACTGCCTTGTGGATTAGACCTTTAGGTCAAAGGCTCGTTTGTGTGGGCCCCTAAGAAAACCATCTGCTTTGGTTTGAGCGCTATGGCAGTATTTCAGCCCTTATACAAATCGAATATATTTATGTAGCGCATATCTGTTTGGTGCCTTCTTGTACCAGTATTTATGTGTTTAAATCATAAATAATAATAAAATGACCGTAGATCGAGTTTTAGCCCTTTGATTTTCAATGAACTGCTCACAGATTAATGGCTTATCTTGCCTACCACCCTAATGACAACTGTTTTTAATGTTCTCCCACTTCATCCCTGTGATTTAATCGCTTGTATTATTTTTATCTATCTGCATAACTAGGACGAACAGTTAATAACCTATTTTTGTGATCGAATCATTTCTGATCTTCATTCCCCTTAACTTATGCTCCTTATATATGCATAACAACCAGTCAAATAACCTCAGTTGATGTCACCCCTAAAGTCAGATGGCAGCTACATGGTCTTACGAATATTTGATTTGTTAAGCTTCTGAACGTTTAAATGTTACCACAGTTATTGTAAGGAAGTGCTGTAAGGAATCTTTTCTTATGTATGTTGGAATATAGTAAAAAACATTGTAACCAATGAGTTTAAATGATTATACTTATGATACCTAGGTTTGACCATTACACCACAGTAGTGTAATAAAGTACACTGATGACCATTATCGGCAGTATTTATGTTCATTATTATATTTAACTGAAAAATAGATTCAACACTACACGTCACGATATATTACTTGCTATATTTATTCCGTTTCACCGATGATTCGATTGTGCTAATCACTAAGTCGATGTTAGTTTGACTTTGGTATTGTTTGTGAAAATGTCAGCCTGTCATAATCAACTTAGAGCCTAAAAAATATATTTGTGTTGACTTAAGGTTGCCATTAGCGCGTCAACCCAATAGTATGACTTCCTCTAAGTTTGATGTTAACAAGCTGAATAGTAAAAATGTAGACAAAAAATGATATAGTGGTATAAAGTAGGAAAGATAGATCATTTTGAGTATGATACAAGAATATAGAATGCAAAAGTATGTATATGTAATTACAGGGATACTCAGGTTCTAAACTAAAATAATAATCTAATATTTCGTCGTAATTGTGACCGATTCTAATTTATGTATCACCTAACATCAACGACTGATTGACTTATTTATTTATTCAATTACATAAATATTGATACAAGGGGGCACCAGATACATATGCGCCACAAAAATCTCATTTAATTTGTATGAGGGATAGGATACTGCTCGAGTGCCCAAACCGAAGCAGGTGGTTTTCTTAGGGGATCACACCCGGAGCCTTTGACCTAAAGATCTGATCCACAAAATAGTGAAGCATCGTTAGAAGATGCAGTCCCATGGTAGCCGGTGACCAACGATTGATTTATACGCCATTTGCTCCCTCAGGATTCTGGAGTTAGCCCATGTGCACCATTGGTTTGGAATCAGGGTTTTCCAACTCCCCTGGGTGACTATCTGTGTCCACCAACCGTGTTAAAATGCCGGACATTCGGTTTTCGTCCTCTCAATTTCGTAAACAACAGTAATGCCACGAGAAGGCAGTAAGTAGGACTTCCCTGTCAGAGGCTACATACGCGTGGTCATGTGAGAGCATTTCGAGAGGGAGAGCGTACTCTCTCCACTCACAGCCGTACCAGGGTATTTGTGGGCAATTGATTGACTACTCGTTATCGGTTAATTCTAGTTGTTTTGCATTCTCTGATATGAATAGTTTCATTATATATATACTTATTATCATTGTGAACAATAAAATTTTTTGCAATTAATAAATTTGTCCAACCTAAAGAATGTTATTTATATTCATTGAACAACATCGTGGATGCGTACTGCTACTGAGGAGTCCCACAATAGGATGAAACGGTCGTTCAGTGCTTCCACAAAACCGCCTTCTGTTAACATTCTATTTATTCCTACAAAATGATCTCTATCTTACATTTCATAATTAATATGTTTACATAGAATTTTTTGAAAAAAAATTCTTCAACCTTTTCTAGATCCATTCATCTTCCGATATCATATATATGTGTGTATACATAAGAAATGGTAATTGAACATATCAAATTCTAACCATTAATTTAACTAGTTTGATCATACACTTAATACAGTAATAATAATAACATTGTTTTTGTTTGGCTAATTCAGCACTAAAACCCCCTTTGTTTTTCTGTGTGTGTGTGTGTGCCGCTGGTGTTCTCCAAGTTTAGAGTATCTCATCTAATATTCTCTTTTTCTTATTCTTCCTCTCTTTCTTTTATTCAAATGACTCGTAACTGTATGTTAATGGAAGGTTGTATCTATTATTTCAACATACTTCAATTCTTTGTTATGTAATCAGAATAGCGTTGAGATTATTAACAAAGTAATGGTCCTTGTGTTGATTTGTGTGTATGTGTGTGTGAGTGTGTAACAAACATCGAGTATATTTTGACCTAAACAATATGTTACCACATTATTAAAATACATCTCTGTAGTGTTCATATTTGTTTGACTTAATCTAGTTTTTTTTCACAGTTAAAATTATGAGTCAAGTAAATCTAGACCACCATCGAAAACCTGGAAGCACTGGACGGCCGTTTCGTCCTATTTTCGGACTCCTCAGTGGCAGTGCGCATCCACGTTCCCGCACTTGCGAGATTCGAACCCAGGACCTACCAGTCTCAAGCCGAAGCTAGTTTGCCCAAATATCTGAATGAGATAGCATTTCTTATCACAAAACTGAGTTATCCGAATTCTATCAAAAGTGTTTTCTTCAAGATTGAAGATAACTTCAGTTTATATTAAATGCCAGCCAGCATTTAATTACATTTAAAATGAAAGAAGTTGTACGAAAATATCATCATCATCGATGAACAAAGAGGATCTGATGCAAACGTAAATACAAGGATTGAAAATGCAAATGCAGCATTTCTACAATTGAAGAACATATGGAACTCAAAACGATTGTCAACCAACATCAAAGTCACAATCTTCAATACGATCATCAAGACAGTTCTACTGTATAGAGATGAAACTTCCAGAACTACCACAACAATTGTCTATGTAAGATACTGAATATCCATCGGACGAATACCATGAGCAACAGCCTACTGTGGGAGAGAGCGAACTAACTTCCAGTTGAAGGGGGAATTAGGAAAAGATTCTGGAGGTGGGTTGGACATACATTACGGATATCATCAAACTGAATCACGAAGCAAGTTCTAATTTGGAGTCTTGAAGGTAAACAGAAAAGTGAAAGACCAAAAAAATACACTGTATCGGGAATAGGAAGTAGACAAGAAATGGGAGCAAGTGGAAGGGATTGTTCGGCACAGATTTGGATGGATAATAGTGGGTGGCCTATGCTCCTCCACAAAGGGTAACAGACGTAAGTAATTATGGGCGTACGGGAAAGTTTTTTTTTCAACTTGTGAAAGGCGCCACATGGCCATATAACCATTCACGCTGATAATTCCTAATGAGATTGAAGTTCAATAATTTCAGCTCTCACGAAGAGTTCTAATAATATATTATCCAACACTTAGTAAAGAAATATGAGAACTAAATATTAAGGGTCTATAGTTTTTTTTTTCTCCCTGGAAGAAAGTCGTCTTGTTTTTTTTTTCAATTCCAATTACTTGATTACTTTACAGTGTATGTTGAAAAGTAGTTTGTTTAAGTGATATTGTTTACACCGTTTTCTGTGTTCCATTCACAATAATCGAAAAAAACAACAACTTTGTTCCATGTTAATATGGTGAGATTGATTTCACTGAGTAAAACATTGTTTATCGATTTAGCTGTAAGTATGTGTTTGATTTTTTACAGAGTAACTATTGTTTACATTGGTTGATTTATTCACATGTTTGTATGATTATAAAAACAAATACAAACAAACAAACAAAACCGTTTCCGTAACAACATATTTACCAAGCTTTTAGTTATAGTGTTGTTTTGTTGTTAATTATTTGTCATAATTGATTCTATGTGTGGGTTGGTGGACATGGAAAATCCATCTAGGGGAGTAGGAAAACCCTGATTGCAAACCAATGATGCACATCGGCTAACTCCAGGATCCTGGGGGAACAAATGGCGTATGAATTAATCGTTTGTCACTGGCTACCATGGGATTGTATCTTCTCAGGATACTCCACTGTCTTGTGGATCAGACTTTTAGGTCAAAGACTCCTGGTGTGGCCCCCTAAGAAAACCACCTGCTTCAGTTTGGGCACGTGGGCAGTATCACAGGCCTCACACAAATCGAATGATATTTGTCTCATCCTAGTAATTCCAGGTTTTCAGTGGTGATCGGCTAGTGATTTCAACTGTGAGAATACAACAATCTACATAAATGCCCGATACTATACAATAATTAGCTAGAATCGCTGTCTGTTAACTAGAATGAATAATGTTTCATATTATTATTTTATTGTCCGAAATGAATGGTTTGTAAATTGTTACGACAGTTTTATGATATAAATGTTCGATGTTGAATCATTTGACACTACTAATAGAATGTCACTTTAAGGTAGTGGTTCAAGGTAGCCGACAGGACATCCTGCTTGACTTTGATTTCGTACTATTCGGCACTCATCAGTTAGGCTTATCTGTTCTCCTGGAGGGACTGATCCTCTATGAGGGAATCAATCACTTGTCAACCAACTTCACAGTCTGAGATGTTATCAATACCAACTTGCTTATTATTCAGTAATCAATCCGTTTTAAAGGGATTCAGTCGGTCATAAATTGTGCTTTGTTTGTTCGTTTGTTTTGGCTTGAATAGTCAGTATATTCTGTTTTCGTTCATTTAACTTTTGTCTCAAACCCTGTTTAGTCCAAATTTACGTTGTTTTACTAATCAGAGATAGTATTACTACGCTGTCATATCCAAAAGTAAAGCTCATAATTGAGTTCTTAAAGTTTCCATTTAGTTATATGAACACTAGGCTTCGACAATTCACTGTCACATTTCAGCCATCTACTTCTGTTTTTATTCATAATCTTATCAACTGACTTGCCTTATTTGAAAGTTTACTTTTATTGTGGACGTTTTTCTTTATATAATCTCTCTATTCCGCAGGTTGGGTCCTAAAACAAACTTCAAAGGAGATCACTCTTTTTACCTTCATTTCTTTCAATGAGTATTTTTTTTTACAAATTATTGTACTGTACAATAAGTAGTAATTTACATTATGTTTATATACTTCTGAGTGCTGGTATGAGGTTATCGATCAAGTTTTCATGTAGTTACTGGTCTATGTGATTTAGATCTATGGCTCCCTTGCCGGTTAATTCCAACTATTCCTGTTATCAAAATATTTTCCACATATCATCTCGTGTGTCTTGATAACCTGTGAGTGTAAAAATCTCTATACTATAAATTGTCGATTGCTGTTGGCATAGATCAATGATAGATTCTCTGATTTCTAATATGTTATGATCCACCTTATCCAATCCAGATCTTCACCCTTCCTATTACCCTTACCATCCAACTAGCAATGCAAATGAAAACAATAAATGTTTGTTATCATTTTAAGATAATTCCACCTTTCATTATACACATGATTTGTTGAATTTCTCACAGAAACCTAAAAGCTTCATTCTAGGCTCTGATTGACTCGTTCCACTTGTATCATACTTTCACTTCATGTATAACTTTTTGGGTATTCTATCACGGTATGAAATCTGAGTGGTATGAAAAACAAGACTAAGTCTTTATTGAATACATTTATGCAAAAGACTTACTAACTCAATTTATTTTTCTGTGTTGTTTTTCATTTCACAACATACATACCTTCATCAATTGGATTTTATGACTGTACAACCTGATGAAGAAGTTATGAGAAACAATCGTTCACTTTAATACTTTTAGTTCTTAAAATTCTATGTTTATAACCGAACAGTCATTGAAAAACAAGTACTCTGGGTAGAGTTTTGTTTCAGAATACAAAATCTGACTGTGTGAATCAAACTCAACCCTTTAAGTTCTAAGCTTAATCTCTGACAAGTTTGTGGATGAGTAATGCTGAGCAGTCTCCTACTAGGACAAAATGTTTGCTCAATCCTCTCTGGTTATTATTGCTACACTGAATGAAATCAATTTGTCCTAAAAATCCATCTTATAAGTTGAATCAATTTTCACAGACCCCTTCAACTATACTCTTGTACAGTTTTGTTTAAAAGATTTTGTGAGATTTGGTCTAATTTTGGTAGAGTTTTGTTCTCTGAGCAGAATGGTGAACAAAACTCCACTGAAATCATCCACCTGAGCTACAAATCTCTACCATCTCAAAATTTGTTTTACATCTTTCGAAGTATCATTCAAAGAGGTAACACGAAAGACTTATGAGCTCTGAGCATCCATAACTCTATCTTGCTTTCAATCTATAGGGATCAATCTTGGAACTTTTAGATCTCATAGTGATCGAATAACCTGAATTGACCATTAAAAGTTGACATTTAATTTCTGCATGATCATTTAGTTCTATCATAAATGATGACATGTTTAAATTCAGCAAAAATTACACGATTTCAACATTTGATATTTATCTAAAATCTATTTACTTAGTAGTAAACATGTATGTTATGTCAATCAATTCGTGATAAAAAAGAAATTAATCTTCAGAACTTTAATAGTTACATAACATATATTGTGTAAAGAATACAATCTTTCAATCCAAAAAACAAACATTTTATATGATTATATCAGTCAGTCAGCTACAACGTAGAACCAAGTTGCCATACCTCACTCGTTAGCACAACAAGATGAACACCGGATTCATAGTAGTTAATTTAGTGTTGGTAGTAGTATATAAATTATAGGTTGTATATAAGGATATAGTATAGGAAGGAAGACAGATATGAAGCAATTTTAATCTCAAGGTTTAAAGGAAGATAAAGAGTGTATGCACCTACGCCATTGTGATCGATTCTGAGCCATGTCACCTAGAGTCTCCAACCATTGGTTACGATAGTCACGCGGACCCCAACCACGTAGTCTGCATCTGCCAACATGGCTCAGACTAGAAGTTAGTGACTTCAAACACTGATGCCATGTTTTGGTTTGGCCGCCCCTAATTATCTTCCAACCATCCCCTACACTAGTCAGCATAGAGCGTCGTGGTAATCGGTGTTCAGGCATACGTAACACGTGGCGGGCCAACCATCTCAGTCGATGAAGATTCATCACCTCATCAACTGATTTACCATCATTCCCTAATACCCTGTGTCTAACCTCACTATTACTTACCCGGTTATCCCAGCAGATGCGAGCAATATATCTAAGGCATCTGTGGTCAAATACTAGTAACCTACGAGTATCTTCTACTCTTAATGGCCATGTTTCGCATCCGTAAATTAGAATAGAGCGAACTGCTGTGCAATATACTCGTCCCTTAATTGATAGACGGATATCTCGTCTTCGCCATAGGTGACGTAAGCTGGCAGAAGCCAAACGAGGTTATGGAATCCGTGCTGAGATTTCATCAGACACCAACCCATTAGGGCTGATCAGATTTTCAAGATAAGTATAGTTGTCGACGCGTTCGACTACTTCACTCCCTATCCTTAGTTCAGGTATTGACGCAGGCCAGTCCTATAACAGAACTCAAGATCACTGTATATCATTATATGATCAAATTAATTCCGGTTACGGCAATCACTCTTGTCTCTATCACTTTATAATACTCTTGTGTAATAGATAAATCAAACTATTTAATAGGCTTGTATAATGATTGGTCTTTATCAATAATAACAATAATATTATATGATCATTTAATAATTAGAAGTAAAGATTCGTCACTGGTTCAATTCAAATCTGTCAGCAGTTGAAACAGCTGTCAACAATGAAATTAAATGATCTTTGTACTATACTTAGAATGGATTCAAGTTGAAGTTGTATCATAGGAAACTGACCCATTAGTCTTACCAATAGTAAACCATTCACCTCAAGATATGAATATCTTGTAATTCAGTCTCTGATATAATTATAAATGTCAACTACTGAGGTAATCATACTAAGACAAAACAACTGTTCACTGTTTTCTGATTTTCATTGGCACCCTAACCTATATCAATCAATGATGAAGACCACCTACATAATTGCTTCTGTTTTTTTTTTTTAAAATACCAACGTTATCTTACCATTGTTAACTTTCATTCTCATGTTGTTGTTGTTTTTTCGGTATGACAAAACCAATTTTTAGGTATGTTTAACATTAACCGCTAAACGTATGGCTAGTAAAAATTGTTTAGTGAAAAATTTAGAAGCTGTTGAAACACTTGGATCAACAAGTACCATTTGTTCGGATAAAACTGGGACATTAACACAAAATCGTATGACTATAGCACATATGTGGTTTGATAATAAAATATTTGATGCGGATACTACAGATGACCAGTCAGGTAGGATAGTACATGTTTTTTTTCCACTATAATGTTATGGCTATTGTGTTTGACTTTGTTATTAGGTCTATCATTCATTTTCTATTGTAAAAGTTGGAACTTTGACGTTGATAATACTGTTGGATTGCAATTGGTCAGTCTGTACTGATGTATTAACATTCTGAGGGGATTGCTTTAGTTACATGTTTTAATGGTTGAAACTGTAGCTAGCAGTGGAATACAACACTCGGATTTTGTCTAACATAGGATTCGTCAGTTTAAAAGAAAGGCAATATCAAGATAATCTTAAAATCGAGGTGATCTTGAGATATGAGGGCAGTTATCAACCCCCAATTCCCCACATTGTGAAATATGATACCAACTTGGGTACTTGAAAAAGTAACTGTGTTGAATGGTCTTGAAAATCGAAGTGCATGTCTGTTGTACTCAAACCGGAACTGCTTCAGACCGGTCACATACAGTCTTATTCAAGTAGTTTTGGACGAGTTATCTTCATGCTTTAAAAGTCTCAGAGACGAAATCAAGTGTGGTAAGGTGAGGTGTGTCGTTTTTGGATTCGACGTCTAACCAGATGGCGAGGAGGATATTGATAACTGAGGATGACATGTCCTTGAAAAATCAACCTCATATGTTTCATCGGTCCTTAGTTTAAAGCTACGGTGTCTGCATGAGCATCAGTTCATTTCATCCGGACTCCGCAGTTGTGCTCCTTCACGACTCCGTAAGTAGGAACTGAACACGGGGCCTTCAATCTTGCGTACGAAGGCTTAACCGTTGAGAAGTCTTATACCAAAACAAAATGACCGTCTAGTGTTCGCAGATTTTCAACGGCGATCTAGCTAAAATTAGTTCATGATTTAAACTGTGGGGATCTGAAAATCTACAGAAATCTTTCTTTACCGTTCAGATATTTACTTTTTTTTCATTTTTCATTGTCTGCCACTCTTAATTATTATTGTAGTTGCTACCTACGATAAAAATTCACCAACTTGGATAGCATTAGCTCGTATTGGCATGTTATGCAATCGTGCTGAATTTAAAGTAGGCGAAGAAAATAAGCCAGTATTAAAACGTGAATGTAATGGAGATGCATCGGAATCAGCTTTGTTAAAATGTGTTGAATTATCATTTGGCGGTGTTACAGAATATCGTCGTAAAAATCCAAAAATTGCTGAAATTCCATTCAATTCTACAAATAAATATCAGGTATAGTCGGTTAACTTGTTGATTGGTTGGTATTCGCGCTCATTTTCATCAAGACAGCATTAAATTTTGTTAATAAGCAATCTTATCCTATTGTCCTTACTGTGTGACGGTAGAAAATGTCATTCACAGATTTTAAATATTGTGCAGAAATCAATGGATCTAGTTTTCTTGACAGTTGACATTCCTTCAGTAAGGTGTGCGTGAAATCTTGAAAAAATTGACTCTCTCTGTTGAATCCTAACACTCATCATCCATCTTCTTAGCCGGGGATGCTAAACTCCCCTTTGTTTAACATTTAAACTGAGTGCTCATGAGGTCGTCACTTATACTAGTGATCGATAAAGTTTGATCAGCGGTTAAGGATTAGATAAACATGACATCGGTCTCTACTTGGTAATCAATCAAATGTTGAAAACACTGTCTTTCAAATCTAGCAACAAGTAAATCACCGTGCTGTAGTACACCTACATCTTACTATAAATCATGTTTTATTTATAAGGGCTTTTTGTAGACCTCCGCTGCATACAGTATGGTAAAAAGGAGAGAGAGAGACTGATGTATACTTTGCGTTACTATCCACACTACTCTACATACTATGTGTGACATAACATTTGAACGTAAACATAGCTTTTAAATTTCTGTTTATTCTGTTTGTTCTAAATTATTACTATGGGGAACTTTTGCAGACTGTTGAGTTCCATAGTTTGGACCATATACTGATTTTAGTTAAACATTTTTGTAAAGTAATTCTCGGAGTTCTGGTGTGAAGCAGTAACCAGTGAAGTCCAGTCAGGTTGACTGATAGGCAGTTAGTTGCTTGCTAATGTTATCCAAAGATCATTATGAAATATCACGCGTTAAGTTGAACACATAAGCTGTTAGATCCCACCACAATAGTTTAATGAGTAAGTAGTTTCTGTGAGATCGGAATGTTCTGGATCTGTAATTGCTAATCAGTTCTCGGCTATCAAAACTTCTCAACGCCACATTGCCATCCCCAATTCCAGCTGAGGATGTACCAATCACATCTGCTAGAGGAGGGAATGAATCCATGTGTGTTTTTGGTGCGTAAACGCGGTCCAGTTAGAGAAGAACCTCTGAGAATTCGTACAGGCAGATGATCGGATCTGATTCCTGGTTGTAGGGTTGTGTATTCGCATTGTTGAGGAGTCCCATATTAAAACGAAGCAGTCATCTAATGCTTCAATATCTGTCTAATTTCTACTAATCTTTGATTCAAGTTATTCAAAATTAATTTCAATATCTTTTGATTATTTTCTTTATCTAGTTATCGATTCATGAAACCAATGATAGTGATGAACGATACTTATTAGTTATGAAAGGTGCACCTGAACGTATACTTGATCGTTGTGGAACTATTTTAATTAATGGTAAAGAAGAAGTTATGGATGAATCAATGCGTGAAAATTTTAATAGCGCTTATTTAGAACTTGGTGGAATGGGTGAAAGAGTTCTCGGATTTTGTGATTATCGTCTACCATTGGATACTTATAAGAAGTAAAATGTTAAATGTTTATTGTGGATTTTTCTTCTAATCAGTATAGGGTTTTTTTGAGAGTGTAGAATTTGGATAGAATGTAAATCATAAACTGATCTTACTTAGAATCACTATGGAAAACTTGAAAGCACTGGACAACGCCCAAGATGCGATGTCGTGAACACGCGCTTTTGAAGATTCCCATTACAGGACAAAACGGTCGTCTAATGCTTGCAGGTTTTGTTAAGTGATCTAACTAAGATTATGTGTTTATTTCGATGATATCTTACGCTTGCGTCTCAGACTCTAAGTGGTGAGTATAGTGTGGATTAATCCTCTCTGTACAACTGTAAGGCTGTGAAATATCGTCCATGGAAGGAAGTGATATGCGTAGACCATCATACGTATCATTTGAGCATTGCCCCTGGGCGATAAATGTTGACATTGAACGTAAATCATTTGATCAAAGTATTTAGGATATATGTTGCTTACGCACCACCTTCATGAATATTCAATGTTTTGGCTAAAGTAATAGTCGACGGAAAGAAAGTTAAAGGCGGCATCAACCCATAAAATCATCGATTATTAAACTGAGTTGTTTAGATATACGCAAACTACTTGGTTGTTTGAATTGTACTCAATCAGTGATTGAAAATGTTGAGTGATATGTCTCGAAATCAGTTACAATAGTGTATATCCAATTCCCCTTTGATCGTCCGTTAACTTTTGAACTTTAAATTTATTCATCGAATTCATTTCTTCTTTTCCAACTGTATTTTCTAATGTTTAGTCTTTATCCAGACTATTAATATTACTATTGTAGTGAATGAGAATACCAGTGGCGAAAAACAAATGTATTTTAATGTGACATTACTGAGTGTCTTGGTAAAGTCTCAAAACAATGCAGTAAATACTTCATTTGCTAAATGCCAATCAATTGTCTTGAATTTGATTGTTCCTTCTTTTACATGCCAATTACTCTATGTTGTAGTTCTCTTCTCTACTGTTTTCTCAACCTTCTGACGCCAGGCATTCCACTTTCGATTGGTGACACATACTACTGATGTCTGTCAACATCAGTAGCACACACCATACTATCACTACTTCAACCTTGTTTCGAAAATGCATAATTTGAGAATTCCAGATAATGGACATATTTATTGGGCTCTACATTAGTTATAACTGACTGACGAATCGATCAAAATCTATATCCAAAAAAACAACAACAATTATCATCTTTGTTACATTCAAAACAAGATAGATTTTCTACCCCTATGAGCAAAATAGTTCTTTCCCATAAATTCCAATATCGAGTTACTTTAATGAATACAACCAAAAAATTCCTGTCTTGTTTTGCTGAATTTAATTTTCATTGTTGAAATCAGTCAATTGAAGCTAGACCACCATGGAAAACCTGGAAGCACTGGACGGCCATTTCGTCCTATTATGGGACTCCTCAGCAGTGCGCATCCACGATCCCACACTCGCGAGATTCAAATCCAGGACCTACCAGTCTCACGCCAGAGCACCTACCCGATAGACCACTTAGCCGGTTGTCATCCAACGGTATTAATGTCTAACTTCAATTTAATTTTGTTGGTAAAGTGCTTACTGAATGATGAAATTAGGACGATCTCTTGTTAATCATGCCCAATATTCATAAAGCATTCGATAGATAGTATTAGTCCTGTTAATTGTTGTCCTCATTACTACCTTCATACATCGTATCCTTCTTTTATTTACCTTTTCAGGGGTTATCCTTTCAATGTAGATGAACCGAATTTTCCTTTAACCAATTTACGTTTTGTCGGTTTAATGTCTATGATTGATCCACCTCGTGCAGCAGTACCAGATGCAGTTGCTAAATGTCGTTCAGCCGGAATTAAAGTAATCATGGTCACTGGTGATCATCCAATCACAGCGAAAGCTATCGCTAAAGGTGTAGGGATAATTTCAGAAAGTTCCAAAACTGTGGAAGATATTGCAGCTGAACGAGGTATTCCAGTTCGTCAGGTAATTTGTGATATGAAAAACTACCAATCTTTTAAAATAAGAAATAAATAATTATACAAAATAGATGAATCGTGGCTAACAATGGAATCTGGGATGCGTGTTTTGTCCTATTCATAACTTTTCAGCTGGATTTACCTGCATCCCAGAGTTGATGCAGGTACATCTAACTATCGAGTCCAAAATTATTCAAACCATTAAAACTTAAATTAAATAAGCAGTTATTTGTATACAACATGAATAGTATTTTTTTTACTTGGTCATACGTGTCTCTCACACTTTTTATGCTTGTTATCCAACGTGGAGCATAGGCCACCCACCAACATTCTCCACCAAACTCTGTCCTAGACTCTCTTTTCCAGTTGTTTCCAAGTGCGATTCATTCTTTGGATGTTTGTCTAAGAATCATAATCGTTTCTGCATTAATTGTTTGTTTTTTAACATTGTACGATTGCAAATGGTAATTTGTTTTGTTCGTCTAGTAGAGTACGACTGAAAATCATTCAGTAATGAAGAGTTAATTCTTTGTTCTCATCGATTTGGACATCCTGAACCTCACACCAAAAAATATATTCTATTCACTACAAAATCTATTCAACCACTGAGTAGAAATGATGTTTTGAACAGTAAATTATCAATTATCAACAATCTAATACATTGAAATTTACTTAGTATTGTTTGTTTGGATCTTCCCATTGATGTTTTTAGGACTGCAACTGGTCAGTCTCTAATTGACATATGTGTATATTGTGCGTATTGCCTCGATATAGTTTAATACATTACTCAAAAATCACTCTCATTACTAATACTATTAAACTGGCTTCAAATTTATTCCGTCCAGGCCATAGTTCTGTGGTAGATTACTGTCTGAACTATGTTAATGAGTTAATGAGAAATGTGCTGAGTTAGTGAATTACACTGAGCTTGTATATGTATCTTGTTTACTTATTCGGAAATTTGTTAAGTACATAATTTAAATGAAACAGTCTTTTAGAGGTTATTTTAATCTGTAGTTGTTCGTCACAACTTGATTTCAGCTGGATTACCATTCAAAAGCAAAATGTAGTGGACAGCATTATTCATCCGACACCTCTTCAAAGATGTTTAAACAACCGTTAGGAAACCTAAAATTTCTAAGTTCGTTTACTGACAAAGTTATAAATATACACTACTGAGAGAACCAGTTCCATATAAGAACGTAACAGTTCTCCAGTGCTTCTTGTAAGTAAAAATTAATCCATGATGTATATCTCATTGTTTATATAATTTCTGGTAACCCCATGCCCAACCCTTCTTTACCTGGGCTTGTGATCGACAGTAGCCCCTGGAGGAGCTACAGGCGGAGTTATTGTTTATATAAATTAGTCACTGACTTTTTTTCTTCTCACAATTCATTCAACTATGCAAGTTCACTTATACATTTGTAGGTCAAGTTATTTTATCTGAATGATTTGAAGTTGGTTGTTTGTTTTGCACACTTCATTATGTCTTTTTCTCTTTTTAATTCACGTTCATAATTACTACTTATGATTAATGCCAAAATATTTATTATCATTTATGATAGGTCAATCCACGTGATGCACAAGCATGTGTAATACATGGATCTGATTTACGTGAAATGACTCCAGCACAAATTGATGACATTTTATTAAATCATTCAGAAATTGTATTTGCACGTACTAGTCCACAACAAAAATTAATTATAGTTGAAGGTTGTCAAAGACAAGGTGCAATTGTTGCTGTAACCGGTGATGGTGTTAATGATAGTCCAGCATTAAAACAAGCTGATATTGGTATGTATATATGTGGATGTATAGTATTTTTCCTAAGTATGTTATTTACTTACTTACGCCTGTTACTCCCAATGGAGCATAGGTCGCTGACCAGCATTCTCCAACCCACTCTGTCCTCCGCCTTCCTTTCTAGTTATATACAATTTTTGTTCATACTTCTCATGTCTGTTTCCATTTCTGGGTGTAATGTTCTTTGGTCTTCCTCTTCTCCTTTGGCCTTCAGGATTCCATATGAGGGCTTGTCTTGTGACGCAATCAGGTGATTTCCTCAATGTGTGTCCTATCCACTTTCAGCGCTTTTTCCTGATTTCTTCCTCCACTGAAATCTGGTTTGTTTTCTCCCACAGTAACTTGTTGCTGATACTATCTGGCCAACGAATCCGAAGTATCTTGCGTAGACAAGTGTCAACAAAATCTTGTATCTTCTGGATGATAGCTCTCGTAGTTCTCCTTGTCTCCGCCCCATACAGTAGAACTGTCTTGACATTTTTATTGAAAATTCTGATCTTGGTTTGACAATTGTTTTGAGTTCCAGATGCTCTTCAGTTGTAAATATGCTTCTCTTGCTTTAAAAACACGAAGTTCAGCGAAGGGATCTCTTTTCAATGAATTTATTATCAAGCTGTACAATCATATATATATATATATATATATATATATATATATATATATATATATATATATATGAAACAGTTTTGTTAAAGTACTAATTCCGTGAGGAAATGTGAACACTAATAACCAAGATTATAATACTAGATTACGTAATACGAATAATAACAATAAATTCGTTGAAAAGAGATCCCTTCGCTGAACTTCGTGTTTTTTATTTTAATGTTTAAATGGGAATTATATGCCAATTCTCTTGCTTTGCCGATCGTCGCCCTCACATCTGTATCAGATCCACCGTGTTCATCAATGATGCTGCCCAGATATGTAAAGGTTTCCACATCTTCCAAAGCTTCTCCATCAAGTGTAATTTGATTGGTGCATATTGTATTGTATCGGAGAGTCTTGCTTTTCTCTTTGTTTATATTGAGACCTACTGCTGCTGAGGCTGCCGCTACACTGGTCGTTTTCTCCTGCATTTGTTGTTGCGTTTGTGATAGAACAGCCAGATCATCTGCGAAGTCTGAATCTTCCAGCTGCATCCTAGCTGTCCACTGTATCCCGTGCTTCCTTCCAGATGTTGAAGTCTTCATGATCCAGTCGATCACCAGGAGAAAGAGAAAGGGTGAGAGTAAACAACCTTGCCTAACACCGGTCTTTACCTCGAATGAGTCGGTGAGTTGTCCTCCATGGAAGATCTGACAGTTTAATTCATCATAGGAGTTCCGTATGATATTGACTATCTTCTCAAGCACGCCTTAGTGTCGAAGAAACCTCCATAGTGTTGTCCTGTCTACGCTATCAAATGCTTTCTCGTAGTCAATGAAGTTGATGTAGAGTGATAAACTGTTATATCGTATGGACTCGTAATATATATGAACGTGCAATTAGAGAGGAGTGGATTTTACTGATCGAATGCAAATGATACTTGAAATAGTACGAACAGTATTGGGTTGCTGTATTTTTTTCCAGAATCCCCGTCGCCAATTGTTATGTCTCGTATAACAATCGTTATTGTATATGAAACGTGCAATGATACAGAAAATACGTACGAGCAGTCTTGATTGCTATTCGGTCCTTCCTAACTGCCTAGCCCAGCCAGTTGAGTCCAGAACACAAATAACAGCCTCGGAAATATGAATCATTATTTACAAACACACTAGGTTTTTATACAAACCAAAGTAATCAATAAACTGATTATAACTCAAGAATCGTATGATCATAAATCAAAGATCAAAATAAAGCTAATGATAAGAGAAACACGAATATGAATAGTTTAGTTACGTAACAACTGTACAATAAGAAATAGGCATAATACATTGGTCGATAATAGACCTCAGATTTACGATTCATAATTCACCAGGGGATATAACACCTCCCCTTTTTGAGAAATCCGGAGTTGACATCCGGATTTTAAATTTCTCGAATTCACCCTCCCCCACGAAAGATTGTTGGATCCTCATGTACCCAAGTTACCGTTATTGTGACATTATTTAAAACATATTCGTCGTATTTAACAGAGAATCCGCCAGAACTGATTAGATCGTGAGGATCGACGACATTCGATTTGAGGTCACCAGCGTCTGATTCTTCTGAAACAGTTTCCCTGAATTTACTCGGAACCTCATTAGTAGATAATGAATCATTAGGATAATCAGTATCTATGAAATTTGTATTGGATTCTTGATTATCATTTAATGCATCCGATATTTTTCTCCCATTTTTATAAGAGATTTGAACTGGAACATATGAATCAGTAAAATAATCGGGATCTGGCAGAACAATTAGATAATTTTGATCATTAGATTCATTAGAAAAATTTTCCGTATCATGAATAATTTCATTTGGCGCCTCTGCATTCAATATACTGCTCGATTTGCTTCCCATTTCTTCGTGGGCGGGTACTGCAGCAATTTCATGAGCATTTGACATGGCATCATGTTGCTGAGAGCTGGGAGCATCACTGTTCGGACCTGCTAATTCAGGGATAGTGGTGTTTGAATCCACTACCGGGCACGTTTCTGAAACAGGCAGCACCGGACTACTGGGCTGATCATGTAGGACTGTTACTGCTGCATCTAAATTACTGTTTTTCGCGGATTCATAGAGGCTTTCCTCTGCATATTCATTTGTTCTGTAATCGACTTCCAGTTCCGTACGCAATTTAGAAATCAATGCGTCAACTTCCGTTGCACCCCCAAAGCATGGGTGATTCAGCAGCGTCGCGTGTAACTTGTCAATGAAATCCAACTGACTCTTTTTAAAACGCTGCTCTTGTCTCTGAATTAGCAACTGAAATTGATCGGAAGTTAAAGTCATTTTTTTTTACCCCGTCGTCAGTTGTTATAACGTATGGGCCCGTAATTTATATGAACGCCAAATTAGAGAGGAGTGAATTTATTGATCGGACGCAAATGATGATTGAAATTGTACGAACTGTCTTGGGTGCTGTATTTTTTTCCAGAATCCCCGTCGCCAATTGTTATGTCTCGTATAACAATCGTTATTGTATATGAAACGTGCAATGATACAGAAAATACGTACGAGCAGTCTTGATTGCTATTCGGTCCTTCCTAACTGCCTAGCCCAGCCAGTTGAGTCCAGAACACAAATAACAGCCTCGGAAATATGAATCATTATTTACAAACACACTAGGTTTTTATACAAACCAAAGTAATCAATAAACTGATTATAACTCAAGAATCGTATGATCATAAATCAAAGATCAAAATAAAGCTAATGATAAGAGAAACACGAATATGAATAGTTTAGTTACGTAATAATTGTATAATAGGAAATAGGCATAATACATTGGTCGATAAATAGTCCTTAGAGTTACCATTCATAATTCACCAGGGGATATAACATAAACTCCATTCGATTGATTGTTCCACCAGAAAAAAGTTAATATGTTATGGTTAGACATTAATTTGTTTATTTTAATGCATATTACTTGCCTGTTAGTTGAAATCATCTGGATGTGAATCAGGTAAATGTCATACATAATTTCTAAATTGATTCAAAATATTAAGATTTCTCGCTAACATATCATGTAATCTTTGTCAATGACAATAATAACTTACATCTGAATTCATGAATCGATCTAAGATAGATCTTCTTTGAAAACCTGGAAGCATTGGACGGCCATTACGTCTCAGAATGGGACTTTTCAATGTTGAATGTTTAAAATGTTCATCCAAGTGTTATTGACGTTAGCTTGAATATATAGCATGCTAGTTCCATTTGGAGATTCGTAGTTAATTGATCGTAGCTAACTGATCTAATGATGAAATAGGCCATTCAACATTTTTTTCAAATCCTCACAACAATTCGTGAGAAATATTCATTTTCCATCACTATGGAGTCAGTCAGTCTGTCATATCGTAGAATGTGGTACGTATGTACATCGGTTCAAGTTGTCATATCCCATTAATACATAGAGATGAAATTATTAGTCCGAATTCCAGGATAGTAAAAATGGTAACAGAATTCATTCTGGTATATGATCCTTATTGATTTCTTGAAGTTTTTAAATAGTAACAGATACAGTTTGTTTTGGATGGAGCATAACTGTTTTCATATCTAACATGATTAATGGTCATGTTTGTCGAAAACAACTCCAAACTATATAACTTTTCAATAGCAATAATTATAAGGACACGCGTAGTTTTGTCCTATTTGGGACTATTTTGGTGTATATACTTGCATCTCAGATTTGAAGTTCACTTCGAGATTCGAACCCAGTACCTTTCACTGCGACTGACGTATTGAGCGATGATTGTGGTAATCGCTTAAGCACTGTTCTTCGAGTTTCGAATTACTTTCAATCTAGTTGTATCTGAAAGGTTTCATATAGTCGTGTTAGGCTTTTGAAGCGAAAACAACTGAGTTCGAATCTATATGTGAACATCAACACCGAAATGCAGAAACGTCAAACTGATAAGTCTTAAATATGATGAAATACCGCATTTTGAATTCCACAGCTAGCCACACTAACAAACTATAATAGACGTCTCTCTGTATATTTTCTATTCCATCAATAACCTTTATTTACCATACCATTTTTCTATGGCGTAAATTGATATTATGAATATTATATGACTTTTAAATGATGGAGATTTGTAGCCTATGAGGATGCTCTTGGTGTTGTTGAGTTCTCAGGGCTAAATGGTTTAATTGTGAGATTTTCATTGTCGTTCTGAACAGCATCACCAACGATCTCTTTACATAGAAGCGAGCATTTTAGTCATTCCGGGAGTCTTAAGTAAATTTATCTTGGTGGCCTTGATTATAGTTGATTATCCTCAAAAGTTTCATTATCTTCAGTAGTCCTTGTGTTCACGTTGACTGTTTTGCTACTTTGACCTCTGATTTAGTAGGTCTGGTTCTATTCGTCGTGCCTAGTAGTCGCTAATTGATTTGAATACTACACTTTCAGAAAGTTCTCTAGCACTTTTAGTATCCTTGCGATTTAGAATTTCGATATCTTCCTAGTTGAATCCATTTCTGTAATTGTTTACATTTCATTGATATCAGTGATAGCATATCGTATCATTTTGACTGATAGTCTATGTTTGTGTATGAGTAAGTGGGAAGGTTGTCCATTTCTTCCAAACCAATACTTGTCACATCTATTATACTTTATTTCCTAGTGGATATTTGATTTGTCTCTTCTTTCATTGTTGTATCTTATAATCTCTGCATAATAGAGTGGAATAATTGTGTTCGTTTATTAGCAACATTAATCCTCACTGGGATCTCATAGATAAGTTGTATTCCACATAAGACCTCTCCTGGTTTCCGAGTTTAATTTTATGATGACTGATTGAGTTGCCAGACAACTTTCTGAAGAAGTTTATAAGATAGCAACTTTTTACAGATGACAGACAAGAGTTTTTTTATGGTAAAAACGCGGTAGTATGTTGCTGAAAATAATCACTTCTACAATGTAAATCAACTTGACTATTAATTTATGTATAAGTACTAAGTAATCACTGTTAAATTCATTTTACTTTGTAAACATTTCAATATATGATCATCATTATTATTGGATCAATTCAATAGGAATTCTCAGTAAAGGGTTGTGGGATTGTTCAGTTTTAATTGAGATCATGAATCGATCAATGTTAGACCACTATTTAAAACCTGGAAACACTGGACGGTCGTTTTGTCCTAGTATGGGATTCTTCAGTAGTGCACATCCACGACAAAACGGCCGTCCAGTACTTCTAAGTTTTAAATGGTAGTCTAACATTGATCGATTCATGATCTCAATTATACCAATCGAAATTCGTTTAATTAATCATTTCACTCTTTCTCTCTTTATCTTAATTTGTTAATCTTTCTGTTTTTTCTTATTACACAAGGTGTTGCAATGGGTATAGCCGGTAGTGATGTTAGTAAACAAGCTGCTGATATGATTTTATTAGATGATAATTTTGCTTCAATTGTTACAGGAGTTGAAGAAGGTCGTATTATTTTTGATAATTTGAAAAAATCAATTGCTTATACATTAACATCGAATATTCCAGAGATTACACCATTTCTAGTGTATATTTTAGCGGATATTCCATTACCGTTGGGTACAATTACAATCTTATGCATTGATTTAGGTACTGATATGGTAAGTATGAAGTATTTCTTTTAAATAGCTATTCAATATATTCCATTGAGCTGCATTTTATTAGATTAATATATAATGATTTATGATACGATTTCGTTGAATATTTTGATTATATATGACTATAATACTAATATTTTCTTGCAGGTTAAAGTAACTAAAGCGTTACTTACTTACTTACGGCTGTTACTTCTCGTGGAGGAGCATAGGCCGCTCACCAGGATTCTCCATCCAACTCTGTCCTGAGAAATCCTTTCCAGTTCGTTCCAGTTGTTATTCATCCTTTTTATATCTGCTTTTATTTACCGACGTAATGTGTTCTTTAGCCTTCCTATTTTCCGCTTTCCTTCCGGATTCCAAGTCAGGGATTGCCTTGTAATGCACATTGGTGATTTCCTTAATGTATGTTCGATCCACTTCCAACGTCTTTTCCTAATTACCTCTTCAGCTAAAAGCTGGTTTGTTCTCTCCAATAAAAGGCTGTTACTGATAGTATCCAGCCAGTGCATGTTGAGTATTTTGCGTAGACAACTATTTATGAATACTTGTACCTTCTTGACGATGGATGTAGTAGTTCTCCACGTTTCAGCTCCATACAGTAAGACTGTGTTGACGTTCGTATTGAAGACTCTCACTTTGAAGTTGTTTTGAGCTCCACATGTTCTTTAATTGCAGAAATGTTGTCCTTGCTTTACCAATCCTCGTCTTTACATCTGCATCCGGTCCTCCTTGTTTATCAACGATGCTTCCCAGGTACGTGAATGTTTCCACCTCTTTCAGAGAGTTCGCCATCAAGTGTGATTGGGTTGGTGTTCTCCGTGTTGTATTTGAGAATCTTTCATTTTATTTTGTGTATGTTAAGGCCTAACTAAAGCGTACTGCATTATATATCGGATGTTTCATTATTTAAAGGACATCAAATGCTCCGTATGAACAAGTATGCTTTGCTATTTGGGTACATTATCGGGAGGATAATTCTTTCTCATTATCTAGTGAATATTATTTAATGAGGTGAATTTGATTGTCAGCATCTAATGAAATCTTAAACGTAGTCAGTCAAATGCAACGTAGAATTGGGCACACACATGTTTCTGTATTGGTTCAAGTTTTCGTGTACTCCATTAACATAACAAGATAAAATTTTCAGGGTAAATGCTAGAATAGTAGAGATAGTAACCATCATTTTCCATCCAACTATGTACTGGACAATTCTTTCCATTTGTTATTCATCCTTTTCATTTCTTCTTCCAATTCCGGATTCAGTGTGTTCTCTGATCTTCCTCTTTTCCGTTCACTTTCACGATTTCAAGTTAGTGATTGCTTCGTGATTCAATTTGATGGTTTGCACATTATATTCAATTTGCTTGTTAATAGTTTAAGTAAACGAATAGAGAATAAAGTTTATTCAGTGATTCGAGTAACTTATTCCGAGTTTTGGTTTGGTCGACCTTAAGATCCTACCAATCTATTCTTACATCAGCTAACATCGTCCTATGTCTCAACTACCTCAATCGATAATTTGCAACCTCACTAACCGATCTACCGTTTTTAGTCAAAAAACTATACGCAACTTCAGCATTATTCTTTTGGTCGTTTCACGATACTCAAAAATACTTCAGAGTTACCTATAATCGATAGTTTGTAGCTTTCGCATGTCTTTTGTTCATATAGACCATGGTTTACATCTATTTATTATTTGACCAATAGACAATCATCTTACCTGCACCGCAAATGATCCAATTTGACAAAATTGAACTAAACTGTCCTGGTTTGCATCAAGATTTTATCAGATACCAACCCATTAGGGTTGAATAAACCTTCAAGATAAGTAAAATGTTCAACATACTCAACTGTTTCACTTCTTACTTGAGCACTCTTACTTCTCCTCTCTCCAGTTACTTCATTTCGATCAACGACTACATCATGTATCTAGATAAGATCAATAGTCTTTCACTTTAAATATATTACCTCTTATTCGAAATAAACGAATTACTCTACTTATTGACCCGAATTCTATTACATTTATAGCAAGCAGTAAGTGCAGTTAAGTAGTTTAGGTAATATCCATTTATATCTTGTTGCATATTCTGCAATCCGAGTTGGTTATAGACTGAATTCTCTTCGACTTTTCAAAGTATCCTGCATAGTCTGTGCTTTATGACTGACTGAAACTTCTCTCTCCAATTATCGATTGTTGCAACTTCCACCTAACGTTCCGCTACATACTACTTATAAGCAATTTTGTGAGTAGCATTCGCTTCAGAGATAGTGTAATTGTTTTTTTCTTAAGTTCATTCCTTACACTAACCTCATGTTTGACATTCTTATACTTATTTATCCTGTTATTTTATTCATATTCCGTTTGTTGGCATATGTTAAATCAATATCCTAATGCAAAAGTATCATTTCATTATTAATAATAATAGAAAGAATGATAATTTGGTATCACGGAAACAAATATTTCATAATCATTGTGTATGTTCTACGCGTGTGTTCTCTTTCTTTCTCTCTCTCCCCCCCTCTCTCCCTCTCCCTCTGTCTTCGAAATGTCAAGAGTTTGTGGTTTGTTTGTTGTTGTTGTTGTTGTGAAAGTTTATGAACAGGAAGTCTCCTATTGGGATTAAAACATCTATGTACATTATTATTGTTACTTGTTATCGTTGATCTGAAAACATGAAAAAATATATAATGATTTCCTTCCATTTAAAAAAAATTTTTTATTCTGCTTGTTGCTACGTAGATTCACATTCCATTTGTGATCTTTCTTTAAGATCTTAAAATTTTAAAAATTGATCGTTGAAAACGTTTTTTTTCCATTGCATACACATCCTTAAACTATAGGTTTATTGAAATAATCAACAACGTAAGGTTCCAACTGATACCGGGTAAGTAATGGTGAAGTTAGATACAGGGTATTAGGGAATGATGGTAAGTCAGTTGATGAGGTGATGAATCTTCATCGACTGAGATGGTTAGGCCATGTGTTACTTATGCCTGAACACCGATTACCACGACGCGCTATGCTGACTAGTGTATGGAATGGTTGGAAGAGAGTTAGGGGCGGCCAAACCAAAACATGGCATTAGAGCTTGAAGTCACTAACTTCTAGTCTGAGCCATGTTGGCAGATGCAGAATACTTGGTTGGGGTCCGCGTGACTATCGTAACCAATGGTTGGAGACTGTGTGTGACATGGCTCAGAATCGATCAGAATGGTGTAGGTGTATGCACTCTTTGTCTTCCCTTAAACCTTGAGATTAAAATTGCTTCATATCTTTCTTTCTTCTTGTACTATACCCTTATATACAATCTCACTTTTGTATATTAGCACCAGAGAATTAACTACTTCTATGAATCTGGCGTTCATTTTGTTGTGCGAATGAGGCATGGCAACTTGGACCTATGCATAAATGTGCCTGGTCCTACAATGTAGCTGATTGACTGACTGACCAACTTATACAATTAGATTGTAGTTCATTTGCACTGAACATGTCAATAGCTATCTGAACTCAGTGATTAAGTGGATACTAAATTAGGTGTTTGAAATTAAAGTTATTAGGTTCCAGTACAGAAGTGGATATCAGCACTTCACTGGTAAATACATCCGAGTGAGGAGTTTCAAATATAATGAAATACATATCCTGAATTCCTTTGCTTAAAAACCAGTTCTTTGTGAACTCATATAAATATTTCCTTATGTTCAATTTTGTCTATATCTACCAGTATTATCATGATCTTCAGTGTCTCTGCTTTTCATCTCTTATTACGGTGTAACAACATAAACCTATTCATATATACTTGTTCCAAGCGTTTCTCAAAGTTATCTATACTTTTTGGACCTATTCGTTTTGACTATTATTTATTGGTTTTTGAACATGTATGTTTGTGTATGTGTTCAACAAGTCCCCAAACCCTCACTAATCACTTCCTTCAATTTGAATAGCTAACCAGTCGTACTCTGAATTTCCAGTTTCAATATTTATTCTTCATACATACTTTTTTCATTTCTTCTTCTCCAACTCCATGCTCTGTACCGTTTATTCTTTTTTAATTTTCATCGTAGCTAGAATTATTATGACTTTATTATTATTCATCTTTTTAATTTTTCATTGAAAATAATAAATCGATCAATGTTGTTTGACCACCATTAAGGACCTGCAAGCACTGGAAAACTGTTTCGTCCTATCATGGGACTCGGCAGTGAGCATCTAAGACCTTGAACGCTATAATCGAATCAAGGACCTTCGGTCTCGAGTGAGGAACCTAACTTCAATCAATCCACTATATTTCCTGACCATCTTATCTCTTTTTATCATTGTGCTATAGTGACTTTCGGCGTCGTTCATATTGATTATAACTGACTGATAAATCTTGTTTACTTATTCTATTCTAACCGAATTTCAATCATTTGATGTTTATATTCTCTAGTATGTTGACAAAGAGTAAACGAAACATGAATAAATTCGAGTTTTTCATGAATCAAGAATGAACAACATACTTTTTTGTTCATGTTATGTTCCCTCAGCTACAAAATGTTAATTGTCGTTCTGGACACAAATATCATCATCGTTTATTGATAGTGAAACTAAGTTGTTTAATTAATCTACAAACGTTAAATTAGCCTGTCTAAATTATATTCCCTGTGATTAACTGCTTTTCAGACAATACTATTCAGAATTAAGCTTACCCAACAGAGATCATGTTGTGACGTGCAGTATTTCAGAGTTGATACTGATACGCAATCTTCTTATATGAATTCAATAGAAAAATCTGAATGGTAAAAATTTTGGCTAATGTTATTGTACAGTAGCATCAAAATAAAGAAATCATAAATTCTACTAAGCAGGTTAAGATTTGAATATTTTTCGTGTTCCATAAGTGATTTCTGACCTTTAAGGATTCATTGTTGAAATCATGAGTCAATTGAAGCTAGACCACCATCGCAAACCTGGAAGCACTGTAAGGCCGTTTCGTCCTATTATGGGACTCCTCTGCAGTGACCATTGGAGTTCAACCAAGTCTGTTGCATAGATATCAACTCACTGAAAACAATTAGTGAATGGTTGCTCAAAGATCGTGAATTGGTTGAAGTTAGACATTAACACCGTTGGATGCCAACTGGCTCAGTGGTTTATCGGTCAAGTGCTCCGGCCCGAGACTGGTAGGTCCTTGGTTCGAATCTTGAGAGGTGGAATCGTGGATGCGCAATGCTGAGGAATCCCATAGTAGGACAAAACGGCCGTCCAGTGCTCTTAGGTTTTTCATGGTGGTCTAGCTTCAATTGACTCATGATTTCAACTATGAAAATACTGAAATCTCCACAAAACCCCTTCTGATCTTTAAAGATTCATCATAGTGCAAAAAAAAAACCAGCTTAAAAATGTTTTCACATTGCTTAAACTAAGATTCAAAGGTGACATTATTCATCGGAATCAAAATGAAAATCACTCTCATTGTATTAAGTTAAATATTCGATGATTGATCTCAATGTACTCAGATATCTATCCGTTTAAATTGAAAAGTTTCGTATCATCATTTTAATTCATTTCCATTGTAATGATTGAGATTCTTCGTACTCTTTTGTGAGGTAGATTTATGTCGGTCTTTTTTTAAATAGTGACACTTAATCTTTCCGCACACACACACACACACACAAACCCAACGGTTTACTGGAATGGGGAAAAGAAAACAGAATGAGAAAAAAAAGTTTATTGAGTAAACAAAATCAAAATCTATGTATATTAATCCATGTATATATCTATATATGTATGTCAGCCCACTAAATAGAAAAGAAGAACTTGTAGTGTTTTTTCTCATCCCTTAGAAATAAGAAAACCCATTTCTTGATTAATCTTTTAAACTTCTCATTATTTGACTGGTATTTCATTGATCCAATGTAGTCATTAGAATATAATTAAAGAAAAAAGCCATCGATTTAAGTTATAACTCTTCATTTCATAGTGAACATTTTTCATATCTCATTGATTGTGTTTTTACTTTTTGCTATTAAAAAGACTATTACTTGAATCAATCCTTCACGTTATATCAAATAGAGTCTATGCTAGGAAAGTTCTACTCATTGCTTTCTCGTGGAGGGGGTGTGATTTACGAAATCGAGAGTACGAAAAGTGAATATCCGGCGCTTTAACCGGATTGATGGACACGGAAAGACAATATAGGGGAGTTGGAAAACCCTGATTCCAAACCAATTGTGCAAATAGGCTTCAGTATCCTGAGGGAACAAATGGTGTATGAATCAATCGTTGGTCACCGGCTACCATGGGACTGCATCTCCTTACGATGCTCCACTGCCTTGTGGATCAGATCTTTCGGTCAAAGGCTTCAAGTGTGGGCCCCTAAGAAAACCACTTGCTTCAGTTTGGACAACCGGATAGTATCACAGCCCTCACACAAGTGAAATGAGATTTGTGTGGCGCATATATATCTGGAACCCTCTGTACCAATATTTATGCGTATAAATAAATAAAATAATGAAATCCTTAAGGTTTATCAAGTTCAATTTTAGTATATGATCCGTTAATAATTCTTGATCGAAATTTCAAATAAATAAATACATAACATGATCATTATCTGAAGGGGGTTTTGTGGACATTTTAGTAATTTTATATAGTTGAATTCATGAGTCAATTAAAGCTAGACCACCATGAAAAACCTGGAAGCACTAGACGACCGTTTCTTCCTATTATTGGATTCCTCAGTGGCAGTGCACATCCACAATCCCGCCTCAAGAGATTCGAACCAAGGACCTATCAGTCTCGTGCGCTAGCACTACACTACTGAGCTGACCGGCGTCCAACAGTGTTAATGTCTAAGTTCAACTAATCCACAAAATTGAGCCTCCATTCACCAATGTCTTCAGTGATCAATTATCATTCATTTACTTTACTGAAAGATTCTATATAATTTACTGGAGATAAGAAATCAATCAGTTGTTGAATGTTCATAGTTGAAGTTTCTTGAAATTATTCCATTTTTTATTAGTTCTGTAAAGGTCAGTTGAATCTTTCCATCATTAGTGATAAAGAATTTTAATTGATCAGTTTCTTATTGTTATATATTCATGCTGTATGAATCACTTTCTTAATCTGATTTACAATTTAAGCATTTCGAATCCAAGTGTAATAGTGGTTAACAGTAGAATTCAAGATGCGTTTTGATAGAGTTTTATTCTCCAAATGTGAAGAACTCCAAACAATTCACTTCCACCTGAAGTTTGTGCTGATTATGTTGTTTAGTAGGATGATGAAAGCTCCACGACTAAACCATCCAGCTCAGAGAACAAAACTCCATCAAAATCATCCACTTGATCTGCGAATCTTCTCCACTATTCAAAATACGTGTTTCGTCCTATTTGGGACTCATCAGAAAAATGTGCTTCTATTACAGTAATATTGTTCATATTAAAACTTGGATGTTTTTAGGTTTCTCTCTGTTATTTATTATCAGACTTTACCTCTAAGCATATTCCATTTTTCTTATTGTAAGATGCATACTCTCGAGTATATATATTCATTTGTATGCTTTTCATGAACTCTTTTGTGACCGGTTTAATCATATTCATAATTGGTGAATGGTTACTCAACTTCGTGGATCAGTTGGAGTTAGACATTAACACCGTTTAATGCCGGTTAAGTGCTGTAGCACGAGACTGGTAGGTCCTGGGTTCGAATCTCGTGAGTGCGTGATCGTGGATGCGCACTACCACTGAGGAGTCCCATAATAGGACTAAACGGCCATCCAGTGCTTCCAGGTTTTCCATGGTAGTTTAACTTCACTTGACTCACGCTTTCAACTATGAAAATATTCATATAATTATAAAATATCATGATAAGAACGCTTAGTATATACACATATAAATCATTTTTGACCACAGTTATTATTATTCATACACTTTTCAGGTCATAAGTTCATAATTTCATGGTTTAAAAAACGAAAAAAAAATTAATTTTTTTTGCTTCGTTTATTTATTGATCTAAGTACATATATGTGTGATCATTCAATGAATGTGGTTACTTCGTGGTTGTTGTTGTTGTTGAGTGAAAACTTTTTTTTTCTTCTATCATCTTTCGGATTACTATTTCTACCATTATGGGATTTGAATCGATAATTGTGCCTTTGTGTTAATGTGGTAAGGGCAACTCGAACTGATGTATGTACGTATGTACGTACGAAGTTCTACGTTGTGACTGACTGACTAACTGAATGACTGATATGATATCTTATGTATTTGTTTCCAGACAAATAAACTAGGTCGAAATTTATTTTGTTTACAGGACACTTTTCATTGGTATTATTGTTTTATAGGTAATAGTTATTAATCTTGAATATATATTTAAGAATGGGTTAATGATAAGGAATTTAGATTAATGTATTACATGTATTGAAGGTAAGATGGGTGATTGGAAGTGGTCACTACCCAGTGATCGATCAATTATGATGTATTTAAGGTATACAATGTTTAAGTAGATTCAAAACTGTCACATACTATGTGTATTTTTTTTTAATAATTTGGAACAACGAAATTGTATTCATCATAAATATGTAGGACTATAGAGTGAGGAATACTGAAGTTAAACTAAGGGTACTACGTATAAATTGACAAATAGACTGATGTTTTTTTAATGAGTTTTTATCTAAGTTGAGTACTCTATTTATTGGTGTAGGAGTAGTTTGGAAGAAAATGGCCAATTGATTAGTTGCTTACCCCTGTTACCCCTCGTGAAGGAGCATAGGCCGCACACCGGCATTCTACATTCAACCCCGTCATGAGCAATCCTTTCTAGTTAACATTCATCCTTTTCATATCTGCTTCTATTTCCCGGCATAATGTGTTCTTTGGTCTTCTTGTTTTCCGCTTCCCTTGAGAATTTCAAGTTAGAGATTAACTCGCTATGCAGTTTGGTGATTTCCTTAATGTATGTTCGATCCACTTCCAACGTCTTTTCCTAATTACCTCTTCAGCTAAAAGCTGGTTTGTTCTCTCCAATAAAAGGCTGTTACTGATAGTATCCAGCCAGTGCATGTTGAGTATTTTGCGTAGACAACTGTTTATAAATACTTGTACCTTCTTGACGATGGTTTTAGTAGTTCTCCACGTTTCAGCTCCATACAGTAAGACTGTGTTGACGTTCGTATTGAAGGTTCTCAATTTGAAATTAGTTGACAATTGTTTTGAGTTCCATATATTCCTCAATTGTAGAAATGCTGTCCTTGCTTTGCCAATCCTCGCCTTTACATGTGCATCAACATCAAAAACATTCCCATTTATTACACTCAACATTAATTCATGAAGTTATTGACCGTTGGATTAAACATTATTGATGGGTACAGGCTATCTGATTAGGGATCCGCGTAATTATTATGATCAACAGTTGGAGATGTTGAGTGAAACAACTTAGAATCGATCGTCATGGTGCAGACTCTTTCATCATTTGTCTTGCTTTAAATTATTTAACATTCAATATAGTATTAGTTGATGTTCAACACTTTATCAGTGCTCTGTTTTCTTTTTTAATTCTTTCATAGATTCCAGCAATTTCATTGGCTTACGAAGAAGCTGAAGCAGATATTATGAAACGTATGCCACGTGATCCATTACATGATAAATTAGTGAATGAACGTTTAATTTCAATGGCTTATGGTCAAATTGGAATGATACAAGCATCAGGTGGTTTCTTTGTTTATTTTGTTATTATGGCTGAAAATGGTTTTTGGCCATCACGTTTACTTGGTATACGACGTGAATGGGATTCTAAAGCTATTAATGATTTAGCTGATTCTTATGGACAAGAATGGGTAAGTGGTTGTGTTTTTCTCTTTTCAAAAAAACAGTGTGCATAACTACAAAGAAAATCTTTGAGGTAAATTGTTTAAGTGAGAAATTTGGACAATATCATCCACTTACCTACTTCATATAGAAGGGGAGTTCTTAATGTGTTCCATGAAATCGTTAAATCAATTCCGTTCTGACCGTATTGTTTGTGATTTTTTCTATTATTTATATTAACTTTATTTGTTTGGTTAAACTCTATTCACATGGATTATTTGATATTTTTCATAAAGATAGACAAAGATGGTCTATATCACTATTATTATTGACTGCGGAATTCCGAAAAGTATATCTCGAAGCTAGTATATGGTGACCACATGATAATAACTAGCATAGGGTTTGTAGATGTGGATTTTAACTGGTTTGAGTTGGACAATAATACCATTGGATGCCGACTCAATGGTCTAGAGATCCTGGGTTCGATCCATGGTGACAGGGTCGTAGATCAGCACTACTGAGAAGTCTCATACTTTGGAGAAATGACATTCCAGTGCTTCCAGGTTTTCAATGGTGTTTGATTTCAATGGAACTCAGCAATCTCCATAACCCTATAATGAGGTTATCACATTGTTCGTTAATTTGACTCTTATCTTTGAACATTTCTTCCGTTGATTCTAACTTATTTTTAATACTACAACGTAACTTATATTCAATATTTGGGAAATCTTGTTAATTCACAATAATTTTATCAAATGATGCTTGAATAACTGCAGTGGTAATGTTTGACTTAGATTATGAAGCTTTCATAATGCCAGTTTGAATAGTATAAGGACGATCACCCCCCTCAATATTGAATAAAGCTAGATTGAATACATCAAAGAAAGGAGTTTTATAGGCTCTCCTCCTTCTGAATGTTATGGTATTCTTCAAAGTTATCTTTCTTCACTTCATTAATCAATTAATAAAAATTAATCTTTGATCTTGCACAACCCCTTAGCTGTTGTCTGATGATTGGACTTCACTGGTCATGGCTTCTCACTAAAACTCCAGAATTTCCATCTTTTCATAGTTGATCTAAGCTTGATTACCATTGAAAACCTGGAAACACTAGATGGTTGTTTTGTTGTAGATTCACACTGCTGTGAAGTCCCCATATTAAGAAGGAAATAGGCATCCAGTGTTTTCACATTTTCATTGGTGGTCTAGCTAGTCTAGATCGAATCATGAATTCAACTTTGGAAAAATACTACAAACTTCATAAATACCCTCCACCTCCATATTGATAAAATTATTTTTTTTTGTTTATTGTTTATCCTTTCTAATAGACATATAATCAACGTAAACGATTAGAATATACATGTCATACAGCATTTTTTGCTTCAATTGTTATTGTACAATGGACTGATTTAATGATTTGTAAAACTCGACGTAATTCTATATTTCAACAAGGAATGTGGAATCATCATTTAACATTTGGTTTATTCTTTGAAACAACATTAGCTATTTTCTTATCATATTGTCCTGGTTTAGATAAAGGTTTACGTATGATGCCATTGAGGTAAGTTCAATTAATTCGGATGTAAAGCTTTTATTCTTCATTTACTTTCTTTTCTGGTCTATTCAAAGCTTAAAATGTAGGGAATAGTAGTAGTCTTGGAATTTAGGAAGCGACTAAGAAGTCATTATTAAGCATTCCCGATAGTAGTAGTAGTAGTCATATCAATGAACTGAATTCTTAGTTATAAAAGATTTCAAATATGTACATTTAAAGAATATTAGTAAAAACAATTCAAGTTCTTCAAACCACCAATATTGTTCAGTCAGTAATCATTGGCGATCTTATGATTTCTAAGATTTAAATGATGAACTGATCTTAACTAGATCATCCTTTGAAACGTGGAAGAGCTGAACAGCCATTTCACCCTACTATGAGACTTCTGTTGAGTGTGCATTTACAACTCCGCATCTTGGAATCTAACTCAAAACCTTCGGTTTTGTGCCTTGATCATTGGAATCCAATCATATTTGGTGTGAGATAACAGGTGATGAATGAGGTTAAACAAAATCAAAGATTGACTGAAGTTAGACATTAACACCTCTGCATACCGGCTTAGTAATCTAAATGTTAAACGTTCATACACGAGAACGAAGCTCGTGAGTTGAATTCCGACTTACGGGGTCGTAGTTGCACACCGAACAGAAATCTCATGAAAGGACCAGACGGCTGTCCAGCACGTTCACGTTTTCAATGAATGATGAGAATTCTACATAAATTCCTTTTACTGATATTACTATCATCAATATTATTAACATTCAACTATCTATACAAACAATGCGTTAATTGTTCAGTTGATTATTTTCGTTATTATTATTAATAATTTCGCTGAACTTCATTCAAATATAAGAATTTAGGCTAACACCAACAGCAACATCACAAACAACAGTCCAACTGGTCCGACTTCAGTACATTCACTTAAACGATTGATTATTAGTTTGATGAACACTGATAATTCTTTTACTCATTGTTCGCTATGTCAAATTGTATTAGTTTAATGATGGATAATATCGTTAATAAATACACAAACTGTTCTTTAATCTCTATCATTGACAGTATAGCAAATATATATGCCACCCTGAAGATGATCTATTTCCGCGATATTTGATGATAATAATAACATCAAATAAGTTTGTACATTTACTGAACCAACTGAATATTATACTATATTATTGGATGTCTCTTCAATTGCTTATCTCTTTGTATATATTGATGTCTTTTTTTCTTAAACTTTTCTCTTTTAGATTTACATGGTGGCTTCCAGGTCTACCATTCAGTTTTCTGATATTTGTCTATGATGAAGTAAGAAAATTCCTACTTCGACGGTTACCTCCTGGATCATGGCTTGAAAAAGAAACATATTATTAGTTGTAGTTATAGTAAATCTCCTCTCCCCTTTATTATATATGAGTACATATAAATATATATGCATTCTTGTCATCTCTATGTATGTGTATTGCACATTTGTAGTTTAAATGAATTGATTCTTTATTTCTCTCTATATCACACTTTTCACGCATACATATATACACACACATGCGCACACTACTACGATGTCCTCTTGGAAATATTAACATCTTCTGTATTGAAACTATTAAATCCTGATTTAGATTATTTGAAACCTTATGAAGTTCTTTATTTTACATCACTCATATATATGTGTGTGTTTGTGCTTATTCACTTGCTTGTGTATTATTATCTGTGCTGTTTTCTAGTTAATCAGTTGATGATAATGATGATAATGATGATGATTACCTACATTCTATTTTTTCTTCCTTCACTCTGTATTGTTCTCTTCTCTTTATTTGAATAACGTTCTTTCTGAAATGGATCAAACAATTTGTGACTGAGAATGTCATCTTCTTATATCCTTCTTATCATTACCATCTTTTTGATTATCATTGTCAAAATCGTTGCTATACCTCTTATTATCATAAAGTAGAATTGAAACACAATATACATTACATGATTAGTAATATAATTATTATAAAGAAATGCTCCTTATCTTACAGTGATTTCATTTCAAGGTGGGTTCTTTCTAATATCAATCTATTTTTACCATCATCATCATTATTGTCATTACTGCTATTCGAATACTACTTACTACTACTACTACTACTACTAGTTAAATTAGTGAGATAATCAGTAGTGTAATAGGTGTGTATTATCTACTAGTATTTGTAGTAGTAATGACAATTATCATTTAGATACATTTATTATTATTATATTATTTTGTTTGTTTGCTAGTTTTTCATCGAAATTTAAATTGTCGCCATATATATTCAGATATATCGATACACCTCCCTCTCTTTTTTTCTCAATTTCTTTCAATGGTAGATTGTTTCTTAACCTCCTTCTTCCCCTCCCTTGTTTTTGTTTCTTGTATCGATTAAGTTGATTTTGTATATTTCACATTGATTTGTTTGTTTGTTTTCATTTTTTTTTTCTATGAATAATAATTATGATTATTTAGAAAAAAAAATTGTTTTTGTTTTTTTTTCGTTTTTTTTTTCTCTCTGAAAGCGTGTGAATTAGATTAAAGAAGAAAAAAACAACAAGAAAAAAAAGGAAAGTAAATTATTGTGTTATGATTATGATTGTTTATCATTGTTAATTGGATATTTATGAAAGATTATGATGAATTGTTTTTCTTTTCTTTTTTTTTTGTTCTCCTATTCCATTGTTATCCCTTTTTTCTTTGGCTTGAATTACTCTCGTTTTCATCTTTGTTGTGTGTATGTTTGTATGTTTCACTTTATGGTCTGTTGAAATTTTTTGATAATTTGATGATCGACATTTTTGATTGAATGTTTATAGACTTTGGTATGTGTTTTTTTTTTGTTGTGTACTATGAATAAAGGATTCTATAATGATTTATATCTTGAATGTTCAAGAACATGTCCCCTCTCTCTCTCTCTCTCTCTCTCTCTTTGATCCCCTCACACACACATATATTATTATTGTGTATTCAATTGATGAATACAATCAACTATAATCATTATGAATAGAATCTATTATGATTATCATAATTAAAATAGTGTATACAAGATCATATTCTATTTGATTTAATGCTATATTACATCTACATATAGAAGTCACTAATCATTCATTCATTTTGTAGTATATAATTCTATTATCTTATTGTTATTCATATCTTTATTGTATTGTTCCTTTTTTTCTCTCCCATTCTCCCTCGCTTTCTTCCTTCCTTCCTATCCTATCCTATATCTGTTTCTCTTTTTTCAATAATTACGTAATAGAATATTCAGTTTTGTTTTAACCAAAAACCTATTCATTTAAAACAAACAATATTCTAATTCCATATTGATATTTATATTCTATTATGATGATTATTCCAATGATTTAAATAGTTATTAGTTCATGGTAATTCTTTTTTTTTGTTATTTTTCAATTCTCATAACTTGTCTAATTTGGATTTATCACATCTCATTTGGTTTATTTTAGATATAATTTTTGTTTTAAAACAACAAAGATTATACAATAGATCAATTCTTGTATGTTTAGATTCTCAATAAAACTAGATCTTGATAGAGTGTGTGTGTGTGTGTGTGTGTATTTGTTATTTAGATATTTTATCTTTTCTCCCTTAGTTCTACGTATATATGCAGTGGATAAGAGCAAGTTTGAGGAATTTTTCATTTCCATGATAGCATATATATATAGTGTTAGTTAAGTAACTAGGTTATTTCCCCCCGCCTTTTTTTTTAAAGAATTAGATCAATAGTTTCTAAGACTACTCTAACTGATTGATTTTTTTTTGTTTCTTGCCCCATTTTTTTCAGTTGTTGTTGTTGTTAATATGTTGGTATTATTGTCATTGATGGTTTATTTTTTGTTTCATCCATTTCCCCGGCACCGCCCCTCTTCGCCCCCCCCCCGTACATCTAATTCGAAATTACGTGATTTTTTTTTATTATTGAAGTATTATTATTACACAAAAATGATATTAACTGTTAGCCATAATAGTAATATATGTGTATGTGTGTGTGGTTGTAATAGAGGCTCACATACGCACGCACACACACACACACGAGATGAGGAAATACTGATCGTTCTTTTTTTTTCGCATCCGTATTCATCCATCGGTTTGTTCTCTTTTTTTTTAAAAAAAATAAAAAAAATTCGTCGTTCTCTCATTCACTAATTTTGTTTTTTTTTTCTTTTTTTTTCATTACACATTATATTTGTTTCTTGTTGATTTATTCAATTGGGTTTTCATTGTAGGAGTCTCAATAAATTTGAATTTACAATAATTGACTTCCCATTGTTATCATCATTGATATTGATTGTAATGTGTATTATAATGGTACTAGTAGTTTCGAGGTGATAGGTCGAGATTGGTAGGTCCTGGGTTCGAATCTCGCGAGGCGAGGTCGTGGATGCGCACTGTTGAGGAGTTGCACAATAGGACGAAACGGCCATCCAGTGCTTCCACTTTCCCCTGGTGGTCTAGCTTCAATTGATTCATGATTTCAACTATAAAAATACTAAAATCTCCACAAAATCCCTTCTGATTAAAAATAAGTTTAGTGGTGGATAGTTATGGTAGAAGAAGAACTCTGAGCCAATTCAGGATACTTAAGTGAGAATAATGTTGGATCTACTTTGACTGAGATGGTTAAGATATGTGTCAATGTTGACGTATGATTTTAGTGTAGGATTAGATTGAGAGAGAGCCCCTAATACAAGTCTATGTTGTCATTGACCGTTGGATCGATCCGTGTGACTACATGCAGGCTATCTGGTTGAGATCCACGTGATTATTGTGACCAATGTTTGGAGACTTGGAGCGAAAACATACCTCAAAAACGTTTACAATGATCCTGTTCGATACACATGTGTCTCTTACTATTCCATGATTGTGTTCTGGTTCGTGTGGTCGTTATAAGATCAGAACGGAAGATATGTTTCGTGATTTCAGTTTAGAGGTATAGGAAAATTACAAACTACATGCTGGGGTGCTCGTTCTTAGAGAACCGTGGTAAAGCCAACAATCATCTTTAATTGCTAGAATATCGTATCATTGATGGGTACTTTATATATGGAATCAACATACTGGACTTGAACTTTGTCATTCACTTATAAAATGTGACGTACTAACGTTATCTGCGCTTTACGTATTAGGAGATTTGGTAGAAACTTCTTCCTGTCGTGGTGTAGGCATAACGTTATTATTCAAAACAGAACAGTCATTTCCTCGAATAGTTAGTCGGTTATCCTCCACCGGTTAATTGGAGTGGTGATAACTCAAATATGTAAAGGTATACCCATCCCTCCAACTCATATAGGATAAACTATGAGCTCTTCAGAAGCTTTCCTCGTTTCTTTAAACATATGGTCGTTCAGATTTTGTGATATCAGACAATTTTAATTCCAAAGTGATTAGACTAAGTAAACATAAACTAGAGTTGATCTTTCGGTGTTACGGCCTAGAAAAACAATGATGATAACCATTTACTACAATTATTTACACGTAGCAAATGCCAACCTTGGATATTGCTGAGTAGGCTGACCTCAACAATAACTAAGCAATGAACACAAACAGGTCATATTGGTGATCGTTGAAGAATTTCAATATGTAACACTATTCTACACTGGAGCACATATTTGAACCCCCATTGTTAGCACCTGTAATTCACAAATGTTCAGCATTATTATCACAGTAGGTTGATAGAAATTCTAAAATTCAATTATAGTTTACACCATAGAGGTGAGTATTTAAACAATCACTGAAAATCTTCAAAGCTGTGGATAGACTTTAATTACTTTTCAAAAGTAACGAAATTTCATATCAGCAGTCTAAAGTTGAAAATTAGTTTGAGGGATCTTGCAGATTATTGAATATTTTAGTTTAAGTCACCGAAATATCTTAGATAACTATTGGAAACCAGGAAGAACTGGACAACTGTTTCGTCCTAGTATTGAACTGCTCTGTAAAGTTAAAAAACGATCCCATGTGGGCTTGAAGACGCAAGTGTTTCTTGTGAGGTTATTTGCAAAACCATAGATGTCATGGAATCGACTGACGGTTAGGTCATGAGTGTGCACTTTTGAAGAGTCCTATAACAAGACATCTACTAATGCTTGGAATTCAACATTCACATACATGAAATCATTCCGTACTTTAAACAAGTCTTCTATGTGCAAGAGTTCAAAGAAATTGAAAACAATAAACAGACTCAAAAAAGTGAATTGAGAAAATCAATGAATTGTGATACTGATGTCATTCTAACAAAAGTATATTCCCTTGTCAATTAAAATGTTTTGCTTAATAATATCATTCATACTGAATGCTACTCTATTCACAACTCTCATTCATTATATAGTCATCTGCCTAACTTAAAGTCGTTTTGATCCCTACAAGTCTTCCTTTTGCATACGTTTCATCATTGTATTTTTGCCTTCCCCCCTTTAAACTGTTTTTTATTGCCTTATAACGTGTTTGTCAGCTGTGTTTTTCTTCAAACGTTTCTTTTTATTTTTCTCTCCTTATTGTAATATTTGTTGCGTTTGTAGAATTTTTTTTCTCTCATTAAAACTATTGAAATAAGTAGTATATATCATTGCTTATTACTTGAAAATAAGCGGGTTTTTAAACACATAAAAGAAAAAAACGGATTATTTTGAATTCATGAATCGATTGAAGCTAGACCACTATTGAAAACCTGGAATCACTGGGCAGCTATTTCGTTCTACTATAAGACTCCTCAGCAGTGCTCATCCACGACCTCACACACAGGATTCGAACCCAAGACCCTCAGTCTTATGTATGGTTGTTCAACCTGTAGACCACTGTGCTAGTATTCGGTGTTGTTGATGTCTAACTACTGAGGAGTCCCATACTAGAACGAAGCGGCCATCCATTGCTTCCAGGTTTTCAATGGTTATCTAACTTAAATCGAATTATGAATTCAACTATCATATTAATTTTATTTATAATAATCTACTCAATACTCAATTTAATTGAAATTATCAAGTCAAATCCTGGGAATGATACCTAAGATACCATGATTGGTTTATTATAACTAATATTGACGATTAATCTATCAATCAAGGGAACGGACTCAATTCACTCGATAGATCTTTATATTCTGGACTTGTCTGAAACAGACCTTCGATATTTATAGTTGTTCCAATGGGTAGACCAACTTTACCTATTAAATTCGTTATCTATAAACGATTAATAATCTCCAGTGTTGAACATTTTGGATTCTCTTGTAGATGACTAAGTGTCCACATGAATGAATTTGGGAAAACTGCCTTTGAACACAATATTTAAGAATCAAATAATTAAGCGTAAAACTCGACTTAAATTTTTTCAGAGTTAATCAATTACATGGAAGAAACAAGTCATATTTACAGTAAAGGTAGAACAACAAAAAATGCCTTTGATCGAGATTATGAATCGATTGATGTTGGATGACCATTGAAAACCTGGAAAACCGTTTCGTCCTATTATGGGACTCCTCAGCAATGCGCATCCACGATCCAACACATGGGATTCGAACCAAGGACCTTTGGTCCCGAGAGCAAATAAATACTAGGATGAAACGGTCGTCCATTGGTTTCCGATTTTCAATGGTGGTCTAACATCAATTGATGCATGATCTCAATCAAAAACTTAACAGTCTCCACAACCTCATACTGATAAAAAACAAGACCTATTCTATGAATTTGATTTACAATACTTAGAATGTTCTACATACATTCTATGATGAATATGTAATGTTACTCATAATAAAACTTATCCAATGATTCATTGAATGCCAGTTTGTTTGATATTACTATATATAGTATCGGTTTGTAATATGAATGCCAACTTTATTTGTACTATGACCCATAAACAATCTTTAATCATATTGTAATATAAAATCACTACACCTAAATTTTTAACCTTCTTCAGAGCATTTAGTTGTTTATGTATTTCTTAATGTTGTTCAAGATGATTATTTCAAAGTTATAATGGGAAAATCATGTTCTTTTAATCAGGATAAACTTAAATGAATGGTAGTCATTACCTAACAATTTGTATCAGCCTGGTTATCTCTGTAAATTGTTGTGTATTTTCTATGCCAGTTATCAAACTATACATTATTATTAACAAAGATGGACGGTGATTAGCCACAGAGTCCAGGACGTACGTATTGTCCTGTTTGGAACTCGTCAGATAGATATACCTGGATCCCAGAGTTGATGTTCACTCCGGATATCAAACCTAGTGCTGTCAGCCTAAATATATGTGTCGTTTTCCTTATAGTTCGACATTGATATGTATATATGTGTTTAACATTGTTGATAAAATCAATACCAACCATATGGAGTCAAGTTAGACAAAACTATTACGAACACAATCCTAAGAACATCATATAGTACTGAAATCATAAAACATTGAATGAAGAAAGAGTTAAATACCAACAGTCTAACTCCTAAGCACATATCGGCGGCGTTTTTAGTTATGAAAATGATTTGTTTGTTTAAACATGTAAATATATCGGTACAAGAAAACATCAAATAAATATGCATCAAACAAATCATTCGATTTGTTTGAGAGCTTGGATACTGCTCGAGCGCCCAGATTGAAACAGGTGATTTTTGTAGTAGGACACACCCTAAGCCTTTAACCTAAAGGTTTAATCTACAAAGCATTGGAGCAATATTAGGAGATACAGTTCCATAGTAGCCCATGACCAACAAAGATGAAGTAAGTACTTCCCTACGAAAACGATGTATTTTGATGAGGAGAAGACTGACTTCCTGTAGAGGCTGTTACTATTTCAAGCCCACATAGGTTATTATAGACTTTGGAAAAACCAATTTATCCAATCTTGTCAAACTACCTTTTGACCTTGTCAATTAATCACACATCAACCTTGAATGTTTTTATATGAACGTACGTGTGTATGCCTCATCACATGTCTGTAACTTATTTTGGTTTAACTATAAATATTGATTCACTCTTCGTTAAACGGAGTTGGCTTACATGCGCTTCGCTTTCTCCTCTTTTTTCTCGTCTCCATAATTGCTTGTTCAAATTAGTGAGTGCATGATATATACATATTCGAAATCGATACTTGTTCTTGACTTATTTTCATTCCGTTATTCATTAACATCATGTACGTCGATAATTATATAAGAGGATAGTCAAAATCTATACATATCAACAGTAATCATTCTATAACGATTATTTGTCTAATCTACATGGAGTCAGATTTTGGGTCTCTAAATTACCCTAAACTTTATATCAACAATATTCATATAAGCAAAGTTGGATGGTGGCTAGCAGCTGAATCTAGGACGTGCGTTTCGTTCTATCTGGAACTCGTCAGCTGAATGTACATGCATCTCACAGTTGATGTTTACTCTGGAACTCGAACCCAGTAACTTTCGCTTCAAACGCCATCACGTTATCCACTTAGCTACTGAGATGCGTGTACATCCAGCTGACGAATCTCAACTAGGACGAAAAGTGCGTCAAACTGAATTCCCCTGCTAGCCACTACCCAACTTTGCTTATAATCCTTGTGACTTCAGGCAATATCAAGGCAGTCCTCATCGGATGCACATATGCCAATAAGAGACTGATCAATTGCAGTCTTAAATAACAATGGGAAGATACTGGTAAACAACACCAAATGAATTTAATATTCATATAATTTTAGAACGAATAACATATAAAGTACACATATCATTTTATTAGGTAATATAAAAGTTATTCTGTCCAGAAAATAATAATACTGGAATATATAACCGGAAATATAGTCATTTAACATTGAATATGATGATTTCAACATCATTATAATATTGATATACACACTTATATATACATAGATATGTATGTATATACATACACTTGATTTGATCAAATAACTTAAATTATCCATATGAACAATGATTTCAGATTGAATGTAACCATCCCAAGAAGTGTTATGTTCAATAGATCAATTAAGTACTATTACTACTACTACCACCACCACCACCACTAATACTACTACTACTACTACTACTACTACTACTACTACTACGACTACCACTACCAATACTACTATTACTACTACTACTACTAATAATAATAATAATAAAATCATTGTTAATTTCATCATATTCAATCATGATAAACAATATCATAAATGTATGCAAACTACAAATTGCCTACAATTTTTTAAACAATTTAGATTGATATTTTAAATATTGTAATAGATTGGATGACATATGAACAATAAGACTTGATTGTTTATCAAGTGATAACGATAATCATGATCATGATTGAATTAAATGTAAAATAATTATGCTCTGTTGATTAACTAAGTGACCAAAATCAACAATTAGAACATTGACTTATATGATTTTGGCATTGTGCCAAATCAATAATGTGGTAATCAGTATGAACAGTCTAGAGTCATCTTGTCCCCATTGATTACAGAACAGAAATTTCAGCTTCCACTATATGAATCACATGTTTCAAACATACTCAGTTTATATATACACAGACCGGATCACATCACTCCGTAAAATGACAAGTAATAATTATACAAGATCAAGCCAAAGTGACCGTAAGTGTGAGAGGCTGTAACTAATCTATTGGGAATAAGTTAATCGTATAGTAGTAGACAATAGGTCAAATGAAAGCTTATAATAAAAAGGAATATGTATATACATAGTTAATTACTAGTTATACAATAAGAATATATGTAATAATAGTCCATAAATGACTCCTAGCAGTTATCTTTCATTTATTCTTCATTAAAATATAACACATTGACCACTGATTTAAAATTGAAATTTGGTTTCTAGGTACGTTACAAGATTATTGATTTGGTCGATTGTTTTTTTCGAAAATAACAGTTACTGTAGTGGCTCCGCCCATAGCTCTTCTTCAGTTGTTGCCGGTCCCAAGCTTGGTTAAAGGAGGAGGGTTGGGCAGTAAATTTCATTCACGGAAATTCAATCATTTATCAAATTATTGTTTACCTATATTAAAGACTCAAAACTATAACTTGTTCACAAAATAGTTAACTTCATTATATAATTTTATATAGTTGAGATCATGAATCAATTGAAGCTAGACCATTATGGAAAACCTAGAAGCATCGGACGGCCGTTCCGTCTTACTGTGGGATTCCTCAACAGTGTAATGTTTTTTTTTGTTATAGACTATGATGTGTTATTATATAAGAGATTAGAAAATAGTTCATTTAATTCATTAAATAGTCTGTAAGTTAGCTGAACATCACTTGATGATTAGGGATTTTATTTCAGAAGTTGATTTGTTCAGATCAAATCATGATTAATAAAGAACTAACGTGTTATAAATTCAATTCATTTCAAGCTATGAATATGATTGTCTTATTATGATCGACCTCGTTTTATTTCATCCAATATTGACTTCTTTATACAATGAATGTTATATAAGTCTCAACTGAAACGTCTACACGTATAATTTGACGCCTACTTATTTACTTATGCCTGTTATCCCTCGTGGAAGAGCATAGACCGACTACCACCATTCTCCATCTAAATCAATACTGAACATTACTCCCCACTTGTTTCCAGTTGTTATTCATCCTTTTCATAACTACTTCTAATTCCCGACTCAGTGTATTCCTTGGTCTTTTTCTTTTCCGTTTCCATTCTTGATTACAATATATGGCTTGCCTCGTGATGCAGTTTGATGATTTATTCAATATATGTCCTATCCACTTTCATAATCTTTTCTTTATTTCCTCTTCAGTTTGAAGCTGGTTTGTTCTTTCCCATAGAAGGCTGTTGCTGATGGTATCCGTCCAACGGATATTGAGTATCTTGTGTAGACAACTGATTATAAATAATTGTACCTTTTAGATAATGGTTGTAGTAGTTCTCCACATTTCAGCTCCATACGGTAGGACTGTCTTGACGTTCTTATTGAAGATTGTCATTTTAGTGTTGGTTGACAGACAGTTGTTTTGAGTTCCATATATTCTTCAACTGTAGGAATGCTGCTTTTGCTTTGACAATCCTATAACTTGACGCTACTGTGTATATAAAAAATTATTCATCCCTAGGTAGTGAACTTTACCACTTCTATCTAGTTTGTTAATGCTTATTGTAATTTATTAGCAAAGTTGTAATATATCTGCTATTCTATCTGATTTAACATGGATTATAATGTAATGGAATTTTAAGTGGTTGATGGTAATCAATCGGAAATTTTGTTCAATCCAGATTTTTGTGACTGTTAACACTCGTTAAGTATCAGAGGGGGTGGGAGAGCAATTTCTAGCGACTATTAATTGCCTGATGAATATTGTCAATAAATTTTGTGGACTTACTAAGAAACAAACACTTGGTTTTCTATACTTATCACTTACACTAATACGAATCAACCTATGCATATATATGTCCTATTTGTATTCGTGGGTTGATTTTTATGGTAACATTTAATGGTATCCCCCAAATGCCCTGTTACGGCCGAGAATCAGGAGAGTACGCTCTCCTTCTCCAAATGCTCTCATATGACCACGCGTATATAGCCTCTGCCAGGAAAGTCCTACTCACTGCCTTCTCGTGGCGAGGGTGTAATTTACGAAATTGAGAGGACGAAAAGCGAATATCCGGCGCTTAAACGAGTTGGTGGACACGGCAGCTCCACCTAGAGGAGTTGGAAAACCCTGATTCCAAACCAATGGTGCACATGGGCTAACTCCAGGATCCTGATGGAGTAAACGGCGTATGAATCATACGTTGGTCACCGGCTGCCATGGGACTGCATCTCCTCACGATGCTCCACTGCCTTGTGGATCAGACCTTTAGGTCAAATGCTCCGAATATGGCCCCCTATGAAGACCACCTGCTTCAGTCTGGGCACCTTGGCAGTATCACAGCCCTCACACAAATCTCAGTTGATTTGTGTGACGTATATGTAACTGGTGCCCCTTTGTACCAATATTTATGTTTTCAAATAAATAAATAAAATCCCTTACTTTTGTACTCTGTCTATATTGATGATGTTCGAGGTAAATGTTTAGTCGAGTGAAGAGAAAATTGCCATATATTAGATTACATTTCAACTCTGCCTGTAGCCCCTCCTGGGGCTACTACCGTTCCCAAGCTCGGATAAAGAAGGAGGATTGGGCATGGGGTTAGCGACCTCATCCCGTAGAAAACTAGCTCGCCAAAAAAAAACGCTAACCAGAAAAAAGTAAGTAGGATTTCATTTCAGGATTTGGAAGTCCTATACCCCATTATGTTTATAATATTGTAATATGCAATGATTATGAAGTTGTATGATAAAAAGAAGGTATTCTATTCTCTAAATTGAGTAGTTTCATCATGAAGATTTCATTATTTACCCAGATGACATTAATAATAACCACATACTATGACAGCATTTAATCCATTAAAACAAATGATGTTGTCTGGGAATCCAATGAAAAATGTCGACTAGAAGTAGCCTTAACCTATTCATTCTTCAGCCTTTGAGGTCATTGTTCTATTCGTTCAATGAATAAGTAATAACCATATGAAGTGTAATTTTTAATTAATATTGGATTTCAAGCCTTAACTTTTACTAGATTTGTGTGTTTCCTCTGACATGTTAAGGTAAGCTATACTGAATATATTCATAGCAGATAGTTATCTATGACTATAGTATAACCTAAGGTGTAATCTATAATGATCAATACACTCTGATATACACTAATCTCTCATTAAATAAATAGGAAAACGAGTATTGAGTACGACTGAATGGGGGTTATAAACGTGTATAAAGAATCACTGCTATGATTGACCGTTGATGGTTAAGATTAGGAATTAGATTTATGGTTTTCATCACGAAGTGGCATCAGTTAAAATGCCAAAACTCTATTTGCACAAGTGGATGTTTGGATTTCACGTCAAGATCTAAGACCTGTTATCTTAAATCTGATTGGTTTGTTCATAAATTATAGTTTGGACGAATTTTTTCATTGCTTACATCATAGACTGATCTTACTTAAATAAATAGTAAGAAGTATTAGAAAATGATTCCATCTTAGTATGTAACTCTTTAGCAGTTTACATCTACGATTTCATTCAGTAGCTTCACGTCCAACGTAGAGCTCTATCATGCTCATAAACGTATTGTTCTAGCTGGATGCCTCATCCTAGGACACGAAACAGTCGCCTAATTGTTTTCTCATGTTTTCAATCTTTATTTGACTAATATCAGTACTACGTGTTATAAACTATAAAAACAAAACAATCTATACAACAACTTATTACATATCTACTTACGCCTGTTACTCCCAATGGTCGCCAACCAGCATTCTCCAACTCACTCTGTCCTAGGCCTTCCTTTCTAGTTTTATCCAATTGTTCTTCATTTTTCTCATGTCTGTATCCATTTCTCGACGTAATGTGTTCTTTGGTCTTCCTCTTCTCCTTTGACCTTCAGGATTCCAAGTGATGAGGGCTTGCCTTATGATGCAGTTGGGTGATTTCCTCAATGTGTGTCCTATCCAGTTCCGGCACTTCCTCCTGATTTCTTCCTCCACTGGAATCTAGTTTGTTTTCTTCCACATTAAGTTGTTGCTGATAGTGTCTGGCCAACGAATCCGAAGTATTTTGCGTAGACAACTGTCAATAAACACCTTTATCCTCTGAATGATGGCTTTCGTAGTTATCTATGTCTCCGCCCCATACAGTTGAACTGTCTTGACATTTGTATTGAAAATTCTGATGTTGATGTTGGTTGACAATTGCTTTGTCAACCAACATCAACATCAGAATTTTCAATAAAACAACACCTTTTAAGAAGAATAATTTTTTATTTCTCAGTTTATTTAATTAATTATAAATTTTTAATTCAATTATTCATAATTTTATTTGTAATTTCAATCATAATTTGTTCACTTCCCATCTTCTTACCTAAATTCTCACCTTCACTTGCTACCCCCTCTCTCTCACTCTCCCACCCTCTCTCCACCTCCCTTTCTCTCCCCAGTTCCCCCTCTCCGTCTTGCCCTCCCTCCCTCCCTCTCTCTCTCTCTCTTGGTAACATATTAGCTAATGACCTGTGAATTGTTTAGTGATTAAAATAACTTTAATTAAATAATAAAAAAGGGAGAAAACAATTTAATGAATTTGTAATTGAATTTTATTGATAATTTACACAAAAATATATTCTCATACTAATCCATGTTAAATAGTTTTACTTATAAGTAGTATATTTATAAATTGAATTGAAAGATGGATAATAATCAGTATGAAAGTTGTGAAGATTGTTAGGGTACCTTGATTGAGATCATGAATTCCTTGATGTTAGATCACCGTTGAAGACCTGGAGAGACTCGATGGCCGTTTGGTTCTAGTACGGGATTCTTCGGCGTTGCTCATCCACGATCCTGCACGCAAGAGTCGGACCCAGGAACTTCAGTCTCGCGTGAACTCTTAACCTCTAGACCAGTGAACCGGTATTCAATGGTCTTAATGTTTAACTTCAACCGATCCACAAAATTGTGCGACCATCTTTCATTTTACTGAGGTTAATACCTGTCTCTATATGACAT